GAGCGAACAATAAAATTTATTATTGATTTAGATGTTGTTATTAGAATTGGCTAATGAAAATTTGAAATATGATAATATACTTAAAATATTTAAATATTATTTTATCTTTACATTGACAATAAGAGCTCGTTTTTTATTTCCCTTATTTTTAATTGTTTTTACAAAAATTTTATATTCATATATGTAAAATGTCCATATTATAATCAATATTTTTATACTGTCACATTACTTCATTTATACAGAAAACGTATCTTTTTCAGAATATTTCATGACAATAACTATTGCGTGTATTATGCATGAATGAATAAATATTAAAATGTATGAAATTTTATTATATTTATTGTATAAAATTTTGTTATATTTATTGTATGAAATTTTGTTATATTTATTGCATTTACTTTGCTTATAATTTACTAAAATTAATTAAAAATTATAAAAATCATATTGACAAATTCAATTTTCAATTATTTTGTGTACAGTAATTTAAATATTATGTTCTATGATCATTCTTGGCTTTAATGTTGTCCATTTTTATATCATTACTCTTCGGCTTTCGGAAAAAATTTGATCTTGATAGTTTCTCATATTTCTCTTACATCTCTGTTAGGCATATTCTTATGATTTCCATGAATATTTTTGAGCAAATAAGTATGAATTTAAGTAAATGTTTGTTATAAAAATAAATATTTGTATCTTTAAACTATTTAAAAATTATAAGGATTCATTATGTTAAGTATTAGCATTCATGGATTTAAATTAAAATGCATATATTACAAATGTAACATTGTTTATAAGTATTTCACTTAACAGATATAAAAAAGAAAATTGACATGAAAGAGAATTGCATCAAATAAGTATCCACTAATGATAAAGTGAAGTAATTAATATGGACAAAAAGAAACAATTAATAAATAGTAAATAGTAGAAAGTTAAGGGTATAAATATAATATAGAATTTGTGTATGGAAGAGAGAGAGAGAAATATTATAAAGGCTACATAAAAATAAGATCTAATTATAATACAATCATTTTTTATTAATTGTAGAATTGCTTAAAAATTTCATATATCTTAATAGTCTATTTAATGTCCTAAAATATATAGTATTTATAATCAATAATATAAAAATGTAAAAAATACACGTTCCTAAACAATATTTATGTAAATAAATTAAATGAATGAAAAATGTAACGTCAATTATAAACAGTAAATAAAATACTTCGAAAAAAGGATGTTAATTTTTTATTTACAAAAAATATTAATTAATCATCTCGAAACTGAAAAGGTTTGAAAATATAATCATTCATAAACATAATTTTTTTGCAATGTAAATAAATTACATGAGTTAATTAAAATCTAATTCAGAATAAACCAAGTGTATGAGGAAAAATTTTATGCAGATACATCAGAGATATTATTTTAATGTCATTACAAAGATCTATTGTATAATTTTGTGTTCCAATCTTAAGAAACAAATATGCCGTTAGTAATATATATATATATATTTCTCACGTATCACTAAGATACAACTGAAATTAACAACTATATTATATTTCGAAATGACTACAGCACTTTTTTAAATCCAGATTTTGCTTATCAATAAATGTGCTAACTACTTTTTTTAGAATAAAAAGTAAAAGCAGATCATAACAATGGCGAATTAAAAAAATGTTTCATATTATCTAGAAAGGACAAATTTATGATTAGTTTTAATTGTACACATAGTTAATAAGATTAATATGTCTAGCAATTATTATTATAAAGGTGGAAATGGAAAAATTGAATTTAAGTACGAGAAGTCAACAAGTATAATTTAATTTTAAAGAGTAAAAATATAATAAATTTAAAACTATATTCAAATGTAAAGATAATTTGGATCTATCATTTAGCTGCAACATTTGGAAACGCATTTATCTTTGTAACGCGAACAAAATTTGATATTAACAATTACTTTTTAAAATTCATTTAAATTATTACTGTATCATATAGATATTAAAATTATATATTTATATTTTTTAAAAGACAAAAAATAAATATAAAGGTTTCTATTTGTTATAAGAATGTTAATTTTAAATATGAGAAAGATTTTTATTAAAGCCTGCCAAATTTTTTTAATAAATGTATATACGTTTCTTATATATATTTGAATTAGTTTATAATAAAAAAGGTGTGTGCGTATATATGTTAATTATCATGTTATTACTATTATTATATACAAAAATAATTAATAATTTATAAAAACATAACGTATTTTTCATAAATTGGTTAATATTTAATGTACATAATAATTTGTCACAATTTGATTTGAGTACATTAATAAATATTTGAAGTTCATATCCAAAATAATAAAAAAAAAAATATAATTTAAATATAATATTAAATAAAATATATTAAAGAATAGACAAATACCAAATTAAATTGTAAATAATATCTAATTGATATTGTTAATTTTAATTAAAAAATAATAATGATCATTATAGAAAAAACAAAATAGAATTCCGTTAATACTAAATACAATTTATAATTTTTGATATGGATATAGTAAACTTAACACAATCATTGTTCAGTTTCATCTTAAGAATAGGTACAACAAAAATTGTTTATATTGCAAAAGTGATAAAAAGACCACATTATCTAGAGAAAATGACAAATGATTAGTCTAGTTTTGTAAACAGTGCGTTTTCTTGTTGAACCTTCTGTTGAAAGACGGTTCCTGTATATTTACAAGTGCTATTAGCCAAGTGAATAATTGTGCATGTCGACTAATACTCGAAATATGTATATGACTTGTGCATGTCCAAGATGGTTGAACAAATATTTGTAAAAAAAAATCACAATAACTCGACTTTCATTAAAATACATTATTTATCTATCTGTTACCTATTACTATCTAGTTTTTATATCTAGTTATATATCTAGATTTTACATAAATTTTAAATAAATCTAGTTTTTAAAAATCATTGTCTATAGTTAAATTTATCAAATAATTACGAATAAATTTCTAATAACAAAATAAAAATTATCAGAATGAAAAATAAATAAAGGAAAATAAAAATAGGAATAATAAGAAAAATAAAAATTAAAAAAAAATAAATAAGATGTATCGTTAAGTTATTGAAATATGATTCAGTTTTCTTAATTTTTCCTCATCTTTATAATAAATGTTGATGTTCATGTATTTCGCACAGAAAGGCTGAAGATAAGAACATGGGTCTTGTATTATCTGAATACAATTTTATATAAAGAATATATATGGTACATATTCAAACAATGTAAATGGAATTCTTTCAAATTAAAGACGTTATATTCTCGAGAGGCTGTATTGAATAATTAATTGAAATGACATTACTAATTTTAATGATGTAATTAATTAAAATATAGAACTATATTAATATTATCATGAAATATAATTAATGCATACAGAATGTACATAACATATTACTCTTCCTATCTTGCAATATATAACAAGTACTTATAATGAATTATTAAAAAGGATTTTAAAGATGTACTATTGTTGGAAAATTACTTCAAAAATTTCATTCGGTGTAATTCGTAGAACTGATGAATTATGAAACAGTAATATATTTACTTATTTTTATAAAATTCTTTTATAAATTTAACATAATAATAGACTTATTAATATATGTTAGTTTAGTAATATATATATGTTTTAATAAATTTTTATTTTATTTTATAATATAATATTTTCTATTTTGTTAAAAATGAAATTTTAATTTAAATTTAAATGAAAGTTAATATAAAACATTATACATTTTATTATTAAATAATGTTACCTTCAGCGTTAAATATCAATACATTCGCTGTAGATCTTCTAAAGCTTCTTTATCAACTATTATTATTTTTTATTATTATGCAAACAATTTAACAATATTTTATGAAATCTATACAAATGCATGTGATATTTTTATAAAATATACTGAGAAAATATAGTGAAAAAATTCTATTGAAAACTATGAAATGTATAATATTTATTTTTTCAATTATTATTTTTATTAATATTATCATTATTTAATTCTCAAAACATTTAAAGAACTATGGTAAAATAAATTATTCATAATAGCTGGTTTAGAGAGTTATTTTATATAATAACATAAAATAACAATAAATATTACCTCCTAGAGAAAATATGAGGTAAAAAGAATCTGGTATAAGATACAAAAAAAATTACGGTTATTAAATAACTATAATATCTTACTGTACCATAACAACTTGAATAGAAAGAAAATTTGTATTCGTGATTAGTGAAAATATAATGACCGAGATCCCAAAATAAATTTCAAAATTTTAAAGATTATTCACATAAAATTTATACTTTCTATACAATAATTAAAGACTACAAATTACTTTGTAAAATTTGTAAAAAAAAAGTTTACAAAACGAAATTATGAAAATAAAAATAATTTGTCAAAAATTTTGTTTATAAAGTATAATTAATACGGATATATTTTAAAATAAATTAGATTATTTTTTGTAATATTCTATATAAGTTTTTATCAAAATATTTTTTATTTCAAAAGTATTTATTTTTTTATTTTAATGAATTCTAATTATCTAATTATTATATGAATTTATTTAATTATTGTTGTATTGTGAAATTTGATAAATTATAAACATATTTATCATCAAATATTAATTTTTAATAATAAATACATATTAAGAGGGTATTGAAAAAAGCTTTTTCTAAATATTTTTCTACTACTAATTTACCATCTAATATGGTTTTATAATTTATATGAAATATTTAAGAGTAATAAAATAAGACAGTAAGTTAGATTTTTTTAAATCAAAGAATAACATTTATGATATTTATGCTTTTCGCTATCACATAAAATTATATTTATTTTTTAAATATAAGATTATATACAAAAGATGAAATTATTAATGTTTACAAAAGATTAAAAATATTGCCAAGGGATCAAATTTATTTATATTTTTGATAAAATATTATCTAATAATTTATTCACGGTACTCAAAAATTGTAAAGTACTAAAAAATTGAACATCCATATTTGAAATGTAAATACAAAGACTTAATTAGTTTAGAAGCACTTGCGATGGACGATTCCTGGACCAGATTCGTCATATTCTTGTTTAGATATCCACATTTGTTGGAAAGTTGATAACGAGGCAAGAATTGATCCACCAATCCATACTGAGTATTTTCTTTCAGGGGGGGCAATAATTTTAATCTTAATCGTTGATGGAGCCAAGGCAGTAATTTCTTTTTGCATACGATCAGCAATACCTGGGTACATTGTAGTACCACCAGATAAAACATTGTTAGCATAAAGATCCTTACGGATGTCAACATCGCACTTCATGATGGAGTTATAAACTGTTTCATGAATACCACAAGATTCCATACCCAAAAATGAAGGTTGAAATAGAGCTTCAGGGCAACGGAATCTTTCATTTCCAATTGTAATAACTTGCCCGTCGGGTAATTCGTAGCTCTTTTCGAGGGAAGTACTAGCAGCTGCGGTTGCCATTTCTTGTTCAAAGTCTAAAGCTACATAACAGAGTTTTTCTTTAATATCTCGAACGATTTCTCTTTCAGCTGTAGTGGTGAAAGAATAACCTCTTTCGGTTAATATTTTCATAAGATAGTCGGTTAAATCACGTCCAGCCAAATCCAGACGAAGAATGGCATGAGGTAAAGCATACCCTTCATAAATAGGTACAGTATGGGAAACACCATCTCCAGAATCTAGTACGATACCAGTAGTACGACCAGACGCATACAATGAAAGTACAGCTTGAATAGCAACATACATAGCCGGACTGTTAAATGTTTCGAACATTATTTGTGTCATTTTTTCACGATTAGCTTTAGGATTCAGTGGAGCTTCAGTAAGAAGAACTGGGTGTTCTTCAGGAGCAACACGTAATTCGTTGTAGAAAGTATGATGCCAAATTTTTTCCATATCATCCCAGTTAGTAATTATACCGTGCTCGATTGGATATTTCAGAGTAAGAATACCTCTCTTACTTTGTGCTTCATCTCCAACATAACTGTCTTTCTGGCCCATACCGACCATTACTCCCTGATGACGGGGTCGACCAACAATGGAGGGAAATACTGCTCTAGGAGCATCATCACCCGCAAATCCGGCTTTGCACATTCCGGATCCATTGTCTACGACAAGGGCTGCTACTTCGTCGTCACACATTATTGTACTGCTACTCTTTTTCTATCTGAAACAAATAAAAATAATAATGATAATAGTAACAACTACAATATGATAACAGCAATCGTTATTGTATTAATAGCACAAAATAGAAGTAAAAGATTAAAAATATCATAAGAACCTTCAATTCATATAATCAATACTATGTAAGTTCGAAATAAGTGATCATAAATTTATAAAAACCTAAATTTGATCAAATTTAATAATAATTTATTAATAAATTATTATATGTTGCTTTACATTATAAAATTTATTTATTTAAAATATTTTATGAAATTGAATATGTATACTAAAATTTATTTTATATTTTATCTTATATTCAGCGATATCGTTTTAATATTTAAATGATTTAATTTAATGTTATTTGATCTGTTTCATGTAATATTTAAAAAAACACGATATTTTACATTTATATATTTTGTACATAATGCAATATTATAGATATTACATTAGTAACAGTTGTAATAATATGCATAATACATAATAATCATAAATTTAAAAATATAAATAATACGCTCAACGTTATAATATAAGACGTATTATAATATAAGATTATTTAACATGATCACATATTTTATTTGATGGTATGATTATATTATTTAAGAATTAGAAAAAATATATAATGAAATAATTTTATTCTATATATCAAATATATTTTAAATTTGAATCATTAAGAATAATTTCACCTTGATTAAACACCTAAAATATTTAAAATAAATTATGCCAAAATTAATTCTCATTGCTTCTTATTATTTATAATTCATTCAACGTAAAAAATATTTAAATTAATAATCTAATTATTTAGAAAGTCTAAAATATCTAGAAAATAATAATATATTTTGAAAACATTTTATCCATTATATTATATTAATATAAGTTATATTATTACCAATATAATACTACGATTCTTTCGGGAATACAATTTTAATGGTATCTATACAAATAAATTACTATTTCTGTAGTAGAACATCAATTTTTAAAGATGAAATGTTAATTTAATATTTTAATATTTTAATATTTAATATATTAATTTAGTTTGATAAAGTTTAGAGTAGATAAATAAACATTTTTCAATTAGATATTTCTGTTTGATTTAATTTAATTAGATTTTTAATGGCTATATTTTATATATATATTTTTTTTAGTATTAAAATTTGTATATAATTCTTAATAATAATTTATTATTATTATACTAAAGTATTTAAAAGATTATATTCACGTCAATCTTTTATTATAAAATATTCGAAATATGAATAATGTTTCAAATGTTCTTAATATATAAACAAATATTAGAATATGATTAAATTAGTCTCTAATACAGAAGGTGTATTGTTAAAAAAACTTATTTTGAATAACTAATCCACTTTGTATAGTATATAAAATAGGATGATTCTCGCGCTGTATGAGAATTTAAATACCTATTTTAAGATACATCTTGTTAATTTTAGATGAACGATGGCCACACCCTACATGTTCAAGCACCAATTATGAACTACAATCCATAGCCAGCGTTCTTTAAATAAATCTAAATTCCTTACCAAAATTATTCCTTTAGTTTATAAAAACAGTGCATTCTATAATTTTTAAAATCTATAAATTTCTTATCTCCATATTTATATAACGGATTTTAAATTATTACATTTTAATCATTTAAATACCATGTTTCTTACAAATAACACCTTTATATTCTTGGCAAATTATATTTATATCTTATTTTTAGAATTCATAATTATGTTTCTGTTAACCATTATTTTTTATTATATTTTGAAATATATATATAATCTATATCTTATCCATATAATTCGTATGTGATTGAAATAATTAAATAATACAAAAAATAATACTAATTAATATTAGATGAGACTAATAATAAAACAATATTTTATTTTTAAAAAAGTATAATAACAAAATATTTTTGATTTTAGCAAACATTATAAACATGGAATTTATTACAACAAAAAATTATTTGAGAAAGAAATTGAATTATTTTTAAACGACAAAGGTGATTTCATCATTAAAAACTTAAAATAGAAACATGGTTCATAAATTTTCTAAGTATGTAAGAACTTTATGTATCTTAAAAGAAAAAAATACAATTTAATTAAGTAATTAAAATTATCTATGAATAAATTTTGTTTCTTTTTTTTTATTTATTAATGATCGAATATATGTATAATTGTATATGCATAAAAATTAATTATTATATCATTATAATAATGTATTAAAAGTTATAAAAATTATTAATATAATTAATATCTATAATAAATTATATTCGGGCATAATATATTTATTTTATTAAAAAAACACAGTTTCATAAATTTGTAATTTATATATTAAATAATAATAATATATATCTTTTAAAAATTTTATTCGTTTCACAATATTAAAAATATTCATTGTATTTTATTTTAGTAGAATAATATATAAATGTTTAAATAATTTTATATTTAATCAGTGAATATATAATTTCATAAAATATTGTGTATAATTTTATTATTGAATCATTTCTTATTACAATAATCTATTAATATATTTTCGACAATAATATTGTATGATAATAATGACGTATTATGATTATTATTCTGAATATTGTTATGATCACTATCATCATCATTATCATCATCATCACTGTTGTTGTCGACATTGTCATCATTATTAATATCCATTAATTATAATGATAAAAATTTAAATATATTTTATTGATTTAAATTAACTTTTCAAATTAAACTCTTAAAGTTTTATTATAGAAAAAACAGTCTTAATTATTCAACAATAAATTATTAAATTAAATTGCAATCACAAATGTACATACCGTGCACGGGACAGAGTGTAGTGGCGTCTGTGCTAAGGGAGCTACGCGACGTCGAATTTATGCTCTCGTTCACACGCCCCCGCATATTTACATGACACTGGTCCATCCGGCACGAAAAAGGCTTGCCTCTCGGGTCGTCGCGACGCTCACCAAATTGAACAGAGCTCGATCCTAACATGTACAACAAATCTGTTACACGATAAGCCATCCAAACGTTGTTTTTATTTACGTATTTTTCAAAAGTAACCAATATTAGATTTTATATACATTATAATTAAAACTAAAAAAGGAAATTAGAATTTATTTATTAGAATAATTCAATCAAATAAATATAATTATTGTATTAAAGTTTCAAAATTTCCTTAATAAAACAAAATTTTTTAAATAATCAAATAATTTTATAATGAAAACAAAAAGAATCTATCTAAAATTTTAAAATTATTATTAATAGATATAATCAGTTGTTTAGATCATGTAGGCACAGTATACGCATTTTTGGTTCTGTAGGATTATTTATAAACTGTTTCTTATAAGGCACATATCAGCGATCATGTTTATTCTACATTATACTATAACTTACTTTCAAATTACTTATTTTTATATGAATATATTTTAACACTGTATGTTAATTTAATATTAAAAATATTAATAAAAATTAAAAATGTGTTCTAGTTTTAGAACAAATAGATATCATCAAGAACAAGTTTTTAAATATACTATTTATATATTTGTTACTCCAAATTAATAGTTTCAAAAATATTATTTTTTAATTTTTTAAAAGCATATAAACCTGATAAATAATATTTATATAAAGTAGAATATGTATATATATATATTTATTTATTTATTTATTTATTAGTATATATATTATTTTACATTATATATATATATAACGAAAATAAGTATATATTTTATTTTAAGAATATATAAATTAATTGTTTATGTAAGAAAATATAGATTATATACAATATTAAATATTTTGTATAAGTGTTCAATATATTTGTGAATATATTGACGAGTATTTAATTCGATATCCTTAATAGATAAAATATATAATATATTAGATAAAATTAACAATTATTCACCTTAAAAAGTTTTCAGTATCAAATTGTATATTCTTTTAAATTATAAATTAAAATATAATGGTAATATTTCAACTGGTTTTAATTTACTTATATTCGTGAAAGTAATATAGACGATAGCCACATATGAAATTAATTTTAGTTTTAAAATCTTAGATGTGTATAAAATGTGCAAAATAATATATATTTATATTCAAACATTTTTTATTATCGTTATTAATATACAAAACATAGTGAATATTATAATATATTTATTTATGCATTACTGCATGTAATGTTAATGTTTTTACTTAGCCTACTTAGTTCATTCATCATTATACAATGGTGTAAGTTATTTCATATACTTCATTATGATTATATTAATTTTTATATCAAAATACAAAATATTTCAAATAATAGCTATAAAATACACTGTTAATTTAATTAGAAATTTATCTACAAATGTATAAAGTGGTATAAATACTCCAAACAGATTTAAAATCTTTTTATCATAAATTGTTATTATTTATTTATTTTAAATTGGTATTAAATAATATAAATAACATATTATTTTTTAATAAAAATGAAAATAATTAAATGCTATTAAACTGCCTTATTTATATTCTCATATCACGCATACATCATTATATATTAAATTTGTATTTATATAGTCATTAAATAGTCATTCAAATACACATATTTGATAACAGATAACACATATCCATCTAATATATTATATATTTTTTCATATAATACATAAGACGCATTCATGCACTCAAGCACACGTTCATTTGATTCTAACATTAAATCTATTTATAAGATTAGCAAGCAAAAACTCAACTCTATTTAAGTTTCATCCCCTCTTAGTTTAACACAGCTGCAAATTTGAGGAAAATTTTTTAGAAGAAATTCCAAAGAAAATAATTTAATACTTTTATACTAATAATTCATAAATAAATATATATTATACAATAGTACTACGTCAATGAATTCTGGTTATATTTTTTTTTGTTTGCTTTGAATTTTTAACATTGTTTTTTTTTAACGTTTAAAATTGATAATGTCCAGATATATTTTAATTTGTCATCTTCGAAGGTAACTTTTAGTTAATTTTATCTATTACTTTTAAATTCTAATTATAGTATTATACTAATTATACTAATTATTTATACTTACTTAAATCTTATACTTGTATATATTATTACATATATAATGCTTATAAATTAATCATTATTTTTTTATATAATTGATTAATGCATAAAATGAAATTTTCTACATAAATATAATATTTTATAAATATAAATATCCTGTATATTTATAAATAAAGTCATCTGTTAGTTCAGCTCTGTAAATTATTGTGATTCAGCGGTGAAAAGATAGTTGTTATAAGTGAAAAATATAATCAAATATTTAAGATGTGACATAAAAAACTTTTTATATCTCACGAAATAGATGTGATCGGATATACTTTAAAATTAATATTGAAATAAATCTGCAGAAACAATGTAAAATTAAATAAAGACAAAATTAATATAAATATCATGCGGCGTGTAATAAATTCGGATAAACAGCGCTATAACCATACAGTCATAATTTATTTTTGGAATCGCCTTTGTTGAAATTGTTAAAATATATTAAGAACTACATAGAAAAATTTTATTCTGATGTAAAAGTTGCAATACTGTAAGTCAAAATAATTTTGAAATTATTGACCTTACAATAATTATAGAAACTAGAAATAGTCAAAAGAATATTATATTCTTATTTGTATTAAGCTATAAAAGGACCAACGACTCTTATTCCAAAATTAATACATACTAAGTAATAATTATCTTTTTACTATACATATAATTAGATTAATAAATTACTTTGTATTAACTCATAAAATAATATTTTACAGTATTGTATTGAAAGAAATATTAATATATACCACGAAAACAAACTTGAAACATATAATTATATGGGAAACTATATAAAAATCTTCTTTCACTGATAAAATAATAATATGATAAGAGGAATCAGTTTAAATACGATAAGAAATAAAGAAGGGATGAAATTCATTATAGTTTTTTGCATTTAAGATTCGTGAAAAAGCAAATATATATATTATTTATGTAATAATATCATAGACTATATTTATATTTAATAAAAGTCAATAATACGCAATATTTCTTATAATTATATTTGATTTTTATTTGCATAGTTATGATTCTAATTTAGCATAAACAATATATTGATATCAGATTCACGGGATAGTGAATCCCATTATTATAAAAATGTTCTAAATAAAGGATAATTAAAATGGAAGAAATAGATACTAAACTCAAATGTATATTTATTAAATAGCATGAAGTTATTAAATAAATTATGCTAAAAATATTAATGTACAGCTTCCTGCATTTTCTGATGACTATCTAACAATATATGAAGTAGCTATATATGTAAGTAATAAAAAATAAATATCAAGTTTATGTATAATGTTACAAATTTCTATTAAAACCTATTATCAAAATACGCTGTTTCTATTCTCCCAACTTAATTTTATGCTGGGTTAAAGCTTAAAATGAATGTGTATTTTTATTATTGCTTCTAAAGTGAAGTTATTAACTTTTAAAAATTTTAAATTCACATATATTTTAAAAATGTAATATAATTGACAAGCCAGTAATTTTTTCTGAAATAAAATAGAGAAGAATTTTAATTGAGTATATATTATTATTAATAAGTCAGAGATTCTTAAAATTAAGTTTTAAAAAGATTAAATTATAATATTGAATGAAAATTAAATGAAAATATAATAACTACAACATTTTTTATATTTATTATATATTAAAATCGATTATTTCTTGTTTATAACATAGACAATAAATTTAAAAGTAAATATAAAATTTTCAACCCTCCCAATTGTTTCTTTAGCATACTTACTAATTTAAAAATAAAAATAATTAAATTTCAAGAAAAGTCGTTGAAAGTTATCAATATTTATATTTTGTTTTATTTTTGTATCCATATATGTATTTGCTAAACTATATTCTTAAGTATTCGTAATAGAATACGAATAATGCTATTAAAATGTAACTTTATATATATAATAAAAATTCTTTATATTTATTTATTTAAAAACTTCTGTTAGAATTTTTTAGAAATCTTTTTTCGAATTTCCGTTCTATTAAACATTTCTAGAATAAATATTGTATTTATTCTTATATTGTAAAGTCTAAAAAAATATTTCATTTTATATTTTATGGACGTAATAGTGTATCAAATTTAGTGCTATAATTTAATTATATCTTATTCAATTTATGAATAAGAAATTATAATTTTTTTATTAATAATCTATCAACTTATATACTTAAGGTTTTTCACTGATTTACTTATATTATGATTTTTTCTATCTTGTTAACATCATATTTGTAACTATGATACTATTTTTATTTTTACATTTTTTTAAAAATTATTACAATAAATATAGATTACATGTAAACATTTCTTCGTGAAATCGTTAATGTTAGTTTAAAATACAAAAAGTATAAAATAGATATAATTTCTCTTTTATTGATTTTTTTATACCTTTTAATTTAATATAGATTTTTATTTGTTTTCATCTAAATATATCTTATCATTTCTGACTGAAATAAATAATAAAATTGTTTAATACTTTCACATTCAATATCTGCAATTTCTATATCAAAATAAAAGTTGACCTTCATAAAATTGATGTATCATTTTCTGTCAACATTGTATATATGAAAAATTTCTAAAAGTTCGCAAACAATCATACCACCAAATTATACGTAGGATTAAAAGCATTAAAAATTATTATTATAGAATTAATTTTTAATAAAGGAAATCCTTTGGCAATGCTTACAATATTACTACAAATTAAGCGATTTTTTTCCAATTGTAACAAAAAATGAATTAATAGCATATTTTATTAATTAGAATTAATTAACATATATAAAATAATTTATAATTCACATACAAGTTATTTAAAAAAACTAATCTCCTGTCAAATATTAAAAATATTACAAGAAGCGAGCAATTAAGACAACACATATGCATCTCTTGGACCAAAGCAAAAATTGATTAATATCACAGAATTCAGTTTAACGAATTGGCTATTAAAAATACATGACTATAAGTAATGTATAGTAAGGATATAGTAAATACAGTAAAGAATGTATTGTGTTACTTATGCGAAAGCAAACAAGAATCGATTGTCTAAGTGGTTGAAAAGGTTATCAATTTTTTGTATACACTACTTTAATATTGGTGTATTGTGGAATATCAAAGGTGAAACTTTAAAAAAAAATAATTATATTATCTAAATTCATTAATAGAATTTTTGAGAACAAAAATTTCTAACAATTTATCATATTGAAAACAAAAGATAGTGAAGTTCAAGGAGACAATGTAAAGAAGTGTTTAATAAATAATTTATAAACATGATGTATGCAAACTATATAAACTTGATGAACCCATTAATTTAATAATTATATTTTGTTCTCAGTTTATAATGTATCACTCTTTTTATACTTATGAATATATTTATAGATTGTGTAAATTGCTCGTTAATATAAATCGGAATGCACAAATTATTTAGAGCAAATAAAAAATGAATTAATTGTTAGTATACTACACTCGAGTTAATCCGTGGAAAAAATAAACAGATCGTTAAAGATCGAATTAATTTTTCATCAGAGTACCACAGTACTTGAACGGTAATTCAATAAGATTAAAATCATGTCCGATATAATACAAATATACAGAAAATAGAAATGAACAAGAGTAAAATGTGAAGGAAGATGAAATAAATTATAAAAAGATATGAAAGTACTTTATTTAAAATCAGATTATTTATATATCCAGTTAATATTAGAAGGTGGAGACAAAATTTCTGTGATTGTAGTATGACTTAACGTATCAACCTAAAATAAAATAAAATTAATAAATATATAATAATTGTCGTCATATATAGAATAATAAAAAATCATAATTACCTGTTTTCTAATGTAATAAACAAGTTTTTCTAACTTTTCAGGATTATCCATATTACATTTAAAAAATCGTCGCCAAATATGACTAGCAAGAAATTTATCGTTAGATCCCACTGTTTCATCATATCCTATTATTGAAGCATTAAATTGTTCATATAATAATTTTATGTTTGACTTTATCAACGTTGAATTTGTTGCCTAAAATGACAAAAAGAAAAATTTTTTTTATAATTAATAAAATGTGTTTATCTATAAATATTTTTAAAATATAGAAAGACATAATATTATATTATGGACATTTATTGAAATATAATTTTTTATTTACAATATAAAATAAACTATGAGACCAAATTAATAAATAATCTGAAAGACGCATTATGAAAATTATGAAAATTAGTTCAATATATGTATTCTGTTGTAAGCAAATTTAATATAAAAATACTAAATACATATCTTGAATCAATCGATTAGATACATTTTTTCGTTTAAAAATGTCTTAAGAATATTTAAAAAAAAGTAAGTTATTTTCTTTAATAAAATTTATTACCGACACTAAATTAATTAAGGATATATTATTTAATGAATATATACATAATACACAAAATGAAATTTTCATAAAATTTTAAATAATTCTTTAAACAGGCATAATTGTAATAATTTATGAATCAACATTTAAAGTACTGAACATTTAAAATAACAAATTAAGTACATGTAATTGTATTATTTTATTATATTATACTGTGATATTATATTATAATTTATATTATATTTTATGAATATATCATTAATGTTACATGTAGACTAAATAACGCAGGAAAGTTGTATGTATTGCTTATAATGTTTATTCAGAAGAAATAAAATTGTTTGTATTGCAGTTATTACAAATTATTTAATAATATTAATTTGGCAATCAAATTAGTCTGGTTATTTCCCTTTTATTTGACTTTGTACTATATAAATAAATATATCACCGATACTATGCTAGTGTCGCCGATATAAAAAGTAATTAAATTATTTCACAGAAATATACAGATTGCAAAAAGATTTGCTTTATTGCTAAAATATGCATAAATTAATTATTGTTAAGTTATTTGTTAAGTATTATAAATTTACATATTTATATTTTCTCTATTAATAGAAATTATTAAAATATAAGATTTTTATATTTCATCACAGTTGTTCCCTATCAAGTAATAGTTGAATTTTTTTTAGAATATAACGAAATCGAAATCATTGTGATATTTTAATGTGATTTTTAATCCATAAAGTATTCTTATTTAAAAAATAATTTCAACGCCAGTACTACTATATAATATTATTAATATTACTATAAGGAGTAAGGTTACGCATATCAATAATAATTCATATCCATAAACTAAATCTTACTAAAATAGTTACTAGTAACATTATTTCACACATACTTGGGAATATGTTATGTACGTTCAAATATTAAACGAAGATAATATAACAATCGATTGGATTATCGCTCACAATATCCTCTTTTTAAGAAATAAATTATTTTATAATCAAATTTTGCACATGTACTTAATATACTCGCAACCAAACAATTTGCTAATTTTACAATCGTAAAATCCAAAATAATTTTTGATATTTCAGTATTATATGAAATCAGTCTTTCTATATAAATATTTAATTATTTTTATAATAAACTCAATTTAAAAAAAAACTAAGAAATTATTTAAATAATTCAATCATGTATACATACAACATACACATATGTATGGATCTTATTGATAATCTGTTTAATTTATAGATTTAACAATTAATCTGTTAAATTTCTTATATTTGTTTATAACTTTGTATATAAATTTACTTTTGTTTATAAGCATATTATTCTTTTAAATGTAAGTAATTATTTATTCGTAATTAACTCTTAAAAAAATAGAAAATAAGAAATTAAATAATATACCCCAAGTTTTTTTGCTCTAATATTGACATCGTTCCACATAGCTTCAACAATATAATTTCTGAGATTTAAACCGTTTTCTCCTTCTTGCATTACACGCAGCATTAGCATCCATACATGCAGTTCCGTAATAAGGAACCATGAAAAAAAGGTATCTTCCATTGTGAATTCTAAAAGTAATATTTTCATTTGAGATGTAAATGAATAAAATAATTTTAAAAAATTAATGATTTTTTTATCAATGAAATTTTTTATTAAAATTTAAAAAAGCACTTACAATATTATTATGTATTACATAAAAAAAAATTATATAAATATATAAATTTATAATTTATAATTATAGTAAATAATTAAGCCAACAGCATGCTAGAATCAAACAGAATTACCAAAGGATGACGCATAAACAAAATCACTGTTTCTAATTATATCAAAATATCATTTAAATCATACAAGTAATAGTCATTAATCATCTGTATATGTAAATCCCATTTTTATATGTATTTATTTATAATCATAAAATTCTATTTCATTTCTAAAGTCTTTGACTTTACAAACATTTTTTATATTAAATCATCTATATCAAAAATATGTGGGTAGATTAATCTATCTAGTTTCTTATTTATTTGTTATAAACATAAGGATCTAATATTCAAACATGAATATGAAATAACATGAAGTAAATATACTTTTTTCATAAAATCATATCGAATATTTTCTATTTCATCCTAAGAAATTTTTATTATATTTAATTCTTAGAAATAATAGGATACAGCTTAGTAATTTTTAATTTTCACATTGTATTTAAATACCAACGTTATTTCAATTAACTTTTTTATAAATTTGTTATAATTTATATTTTGATTAAAGATAAAAATTATTATTATTAAAATATTTATTACCATTTTATTCATGTTTCTTAGAATTCGTAAATTATTACTTATTGCTATTAATATTTCAATTACTTCTAGTTTTTGTATGCATATTTTATTTATAAATTTATTGCAAATTTAGTTAATCTTAAGTTATCTTATATACAGTAATATGTAGTATTTTATTAAATAATAACAATAACTAAAGTTCGTTTAAATTTTTTCTTTTTATATTAAATATAATAGCATTATTTATCGATTAATTAGGTATTTTATTCAGAAAAACACTTTTTGGTTTGTTGGCATTTAAATTGTGTTGCTAGTTTTATTATTTCATTTAAAAGGCAATGCAAGTTTAAGAGTATCTAAACAACAATTTTTATGTATATAAGTATGATAGTTGATGAATATAGATACATCTTTTTTTAAAAGATACTATTTCAAAAATTTCAATTTATATAAGAGTTAATCTAGTTTGAAAAATATGTAAATATGTAAATTTTTGAATTTTCACTAATGTAATATTTATAGTTTGCAGTTTATACATAGAATATTGTGAGGTAATAGATTTATATATCTTTACATTGAAATTTTTCAGCATTAATATTAGTTTGTGTAATTTATGAAATAAATTGATGAAATTTAAGTTAATGAATAAAACAAAATCTATTATGAAATCAATGAGTATATATACAGAATCAAAGATAGAAAACCAAAAAATTTATGAGTCGGTAAATGTAAATTTATGATACATACCTTTATAAAAATAGTTATAATCTAATTTATCGACTATATTTTCATAAAGTATAGCACCACGTAATGTGAGGTTCTGAAAAAAATTATATAAAAATCAAATTAATACAATGAATTATAATTCAAAAGAGCAATTTATACATAAATTGAAGTTAAACTTATATTCAGAATTATATATTTAATTATTTTGTAATAATATAGACTAAAATAGTATCTAAGTATCTATTTGAATATTTTGTTAATAATATGTAGTTTTTGATTATTATATTGATCCAAAAAAGTCAAATTCTCTCTGAAAGATTTATTACCTTAATAGATATGAAACTATAAATGTTCAAACTCATGTTCTAATATAATTAATAAGTTTGGAAAGTATAAATATTCAAAATTATTTATAAATAATATATGTCAATTTATTATTATTCCTTTAACACTCAATTTATGCATCTAAATTCAATAAAACTTGCTTATTCTGCATATAAAACTATAGTTTTCATATGTTTTAGACATTTTTATATCTGCTTTATTTTGTAGCGATAATAATTAATTAGTAGTTCTTAAATCTAAATCAAATAATCTGGGTTGACTTTCATCCTTTCAAGAAAGCAATATAATACACTAACTCAATAATCTGCTCATTATTATATGTACTACATTATTTTATTTTCTATAATTCTATTGTACATATATTTGTTTCATACATTTTTTTATTATCATAATTTGTATATTAACGTCTGGATTATCATTTTTCCATATATCACAATTGTCTCATTCATATATTCAATTTTAATAATATGATTTGTACTATGTTATTTTCCAGTCTTAAATAACTTTCAAATTTGTTAACTTTTTAATTTCAAATATTATTGCGAAACAGCTCTAAAATAATTAAAACATCGTAATTTATCTACGTTATATACATAATCTGATTTTTAATTCGGTAACTTATCTTTAATTAGAGTAAGTTGTCAATTAAGCTATCGACGTTATTTTGTCAAAAGAATTTTTTTTAATAACTAAGTAATATAATGATATTATATATTTATCAAAATTATCCAAATTGTTAATTAGAATAAAAAAATTTTTTCTCGATTTCTGTAATAAAACTACAGGCATAAAATAACTATAGTTATTAAAAAGGTTATAAAAGTTGCAAAGTTTATAATAAATTATATAGTTTAAATTTGTTATCATAAACTAAAAAAACTTTATTTTTTAAAAATGTATGTCTGCATCTAGCTATAATATTATGAAGTATAGAAAAGAACAATAAAGTAAAAAACAATTAAATAATTGTAAGAATATAAAAACTAATGTGAATTACAGTATATGTTCGAGAATAAGATGCTAAAAAGAATTTGTATTTAATTTTCAAGAGAAAAATATTTTACAAAACTTAGAAAATTTATTACAATAATAATGTGACATATATGAATTATTATAGCAATATCACTAAGTAGAAAAAAATACAAAATAATTTACCAAAATTTAATTAATACATATTAATTTAATATTTATTAATCTTTTGACATGTTCCATATACATGTTCAATTTTAATGTTTAACTTATATGTTGGTTTTTTAAATATATCAATTTCAAAATGTGTGCCGGGTCATAAATATATTTCTGTTCTTAGAATATAAATATTTTATAATAAATTTTGTTATCAAATATGTATTAATTTTATACAACATTCTAATACATACTACGTAGCGAATAAATTATTTAAGAAATATATAATTTTTTATATTGTATACATGAATATCTATACGACACTCAAATATTTAATTAATGATTTACTTAACAAAATCTTATAACAAAATGACAAATTAAAATCATTAATATTATTGCAAAATGTTTCATTGCATACACTGCATATAATAAATATATAGTAACTATATATTTAAAATAATATCATCTACTTCTGATTGTTACCTAGTATCACTACGCAAAATAATAATTTAAAGTATGTACATTGAAAATTTAATACATTGCATAGTCTAATATGATTAAGCTATCTATAACTTCTTTAACTATATTATAATTATCAAACCATTCATAGGTCTCTTGAAAATAAATTCCACATAATTCAATACATTAAATATGTATTAATGAAGAAAATAATATTACTCTAATAATTAAAAATAAAAATAGCAAAAAAAATATATTAAATACAAAATTTTTGAAGTTGCAAAATTGGTGGAGCAAAAAAACAAATGAATAAAGTATAAATATAAAAAACGTTGACTCAATTTAATTACAGTTAATAAATTCATTTTATACATAGACTTATACATTTTTATATACACCAATTATTACATGCATTATTTTTGTTTACTTACATAACCAATTTGATCAAATCATGATTATATAAGATATTTTTTAAGGTAATTTCAAGAATTAAACCTTAAAATGATATAGAAAATAATTTTCATATGAGAATTTATTTACATTATAAATTATTTGATCTTCATATTTCTTTTTTACAATTAATGATTTTTAGTGTATTACTTTAACACTAATGTACCTAATGCAATGTTACACTTATTTTCTTAATTCTGTCATATATTAATATACCTTAATTGTTATACATTTTTATTCTTCTAACATATTTAAGTATGCTTAATATGTTATTATTATTATGCTTAATATATTATTAATTATTGATAGTTAAGTTTTGAGTTGATAAATAACAATATAAAAAACTTGGTACGTCCCACTTTCAAAATTAACAATATACCAAGTCAACATTAATATAAAATAAATTATATTAACCAAAATAATTCAGTTTCTACTTAATTATTTAATAATAAAAAATAAATAAAACAATTAAACAACTGAAAACATAATCAACTTCGTTAATTAATATGAGACACAATTACACCAACATAAAATAAAACTCTATAAAAAGTTTATCAAAAAGGTACTCCAATTTGAACAGAAATTAAAAAAAGAATATAATATGAATATCATAATTTTTAATAATTTTTAAAAATGAAGATTATTTACTGATTGTAAAAAACTAAATAGATTTTTAATATTATATAATGCTAAAATATTAATATGGCTTACCAAAAGTTTAAAATATTCTGAAAAATAATACATACAATATTATGACTCATATATTCTAAAGAATCATCAATGTAATACAATAAAATTAATTAATCATATATATCATCTACAAAGATACAGTTTATATAAAAAAGATTTTACATTTACTCTATCAGACACTGTGTGAATATACATTGATTCAACTTTATATAATAAACCCTAATAAATTAATTAACTGAGCTTTTGGTAATTACATTATTTTGTTGTTGTTAAATATTATACTTTAATATAATTTTCCAAACTACTATTAAAAATGTAATATTGAAATCAAAATTTCATATTAACATTATATATAAACATATTTTTAATAATATCAATACTAACATAAATTTAATTTTCATATAAAAAAATTAAAAAACTTAACATGTGTTATATTATAATTTTTAATATTAAAAATTATATAATAAATATAAAAATAATTCTTACATATTTTTTTGCAGATCTTTGAAATATATTATAACTGTTTGAGATATTTTTATGAAATTTGGTTATGGTTGATTTTTCATTGTACAAATTAAAATTTTTAATTGTTCTAGGAGCATTATAATTACGTAATATCACATAAATTGGTTTAGGTAAATAAAAATTCATTGTTATTCTTTATATTAAAATCAAGAAAATTCACCCATAAAATAATCTTTTGTCAATCGTTCAGAATATTTAATAATCCATATTTATAATAAAAATTTCAGTTGAAATTTATGATGAAAGAAGGTTGAAACATTATTTTGTAATTGACATAATATATAAATTTTTAAATAACAAAAATAACCATATTATGTAAACAATGCAAGATTATTTATAACCTTTTTCACTTAACAGTACACCTTTTAGGCATGCGCAAACAAAGTGTAAGGTCTTTACGAAATATTATGTAAAAAAATTTATTTTAATTACAAATAAAAACATTAATCAAATTAGCATTTTTTAATAAACAATTTACTAATATATGAGTAAAAATTATATATGCATTCTTATATGATTTTAATTTAAGTTTAATAAAAAAATGTATAAAATTCATATATTTAAAAATTATCGATTCAAAAAAAAAAGATTTTTTATTTCCTTAACAATAAATACTGATTTTAATTTACTTTGAAAATTATTCTATATTGAAATTACAGCATTCGGTAGGGTAAAAACCTCTTCTTGCACACGCATCCATTAGAAGCACTATTTATGTTCCTTAATTATTGTCAATAGAATGAAAGACACATTTTTCAGTTTTAAGCAATTTGGTATTTATTGAATGACAATACGGACAAAATTATTATCAAATTTACATAATCAAAACTTTAGGCATATACACCAATAAGTTTTAATAATAATAATAATAATAGGATATATTTTTTGAAGAACAAATTTATTTCTTTTGTTGATTTGTATTACATATAACAAATAAAATATATTTGAAATTTATAAAAATGAAAATTTTAATTACATTTAATAAATACAGATTATAGTATAAAACTATTGATGATTATGCTTTTTTATTTCGTTATTATTTAGAGTAAAATAGTATATATTTATTTGATATAATTTACAAGTCTATTATATATACATATATAGATTATAACGGTATGTAATAATGTAACTTATTATTTTCTTATTTTCATTTTTTTCGTACAATTGATAAAATTATATTGTTTGACGGTATTTAAGAAAATTCTAAAAACGTATTTTTCCACTCTATTAAGGTGCTTATGATTTTTATTTGTGATTATAATATAATAAAATGTTCTCCAAAGGAATAATGTAATGTTTTACTTTTATCTTCAAACATGATATATAATCAATGTAATATATATAGCTTAGATTTCATACGATAAACGTCACTGAAAGGTTCATCTTAAATCTGATTGCATACGCTCATAGTAGTATCAAGCATATATCAATAGTACAATCTATGTTTTTATTATTCATAAACAAATTATTTTTAATTATCTATTTATATATATTATATTTATTTATATTTAAATATAATTCTAATATAAATATGTAAATTATATATTTAAATGGATTTTATTTAAATTTAAAAAATTAAAAATTTTTTTATTCTTGTACTGCTTCAATAAGTTCATTGCCAAAATAGAAATATTTCATGATTATATATAAATGTTCTTCAATATTGACTATTCCTTTACTCATCTAATTGGCACAATGGTTCATATTTATTCATATATACTACCATAATGTATAAGATATGCATATTCATCAATATATATATATATATATATGAAAATTTTAATTACTTTCAGTATTATAATTTGTTACTACTATATGAATATTTACATTTTATACTAATTCTATTTAATACTTATACTTCATTTGATTAATGCTGTGAGAATAACAAAGAAAAATTTTTTTATTATCATGATTTTTACTTGTAAAAAAATATTGTCTTCTGTTTAGGACAACCAATTACTACAGATGTGAGAAAAATTTGCTATGTTTCATTGTTCGTTTGTAACATATAAATATTTAAATACTCTATTATCTAATTTAATTTTTTTTTGTTTTTATTCTCATTCATAATATAATATAGACCTGCAGTTAATAGAAAATTAAACTATTCACACCAATATATAAGGCAAGGTCTATTTATTTTATAAAATTGAATTTTTGTTTTGTTAAAATATAAACGAATTGTTTTACATTTTTTTCATTAAACTTAAGTCGGTTCTAGAAATTAATTTTTTTATTCATTTTTCAAATAAAATGTACATATTCAATCTACGAATAAAACGAACTTTGGTATTTAATTAAAATTATATCCTTTTACGTTTCACTGCCTTCTCTTTTATTAAGCATTTCTTTTACCCTTTATTCAATTGTACATAGTATAATTATTTTTAAGTGTAAGGCTGTGAAAATATTTTCTTTATTTTTTGCTCAATTTTCGTCTTTAAACTTTTTAAAATTCATATATTTTATAAATATTTATTCTACATTTTTAAAAATCTTTTATTTAGAAAAACATTTTTATAGTAAATATTAATATTCGTCAGTTTAGTTATAATTGACCTTTAATTTCCATTTAAAGTTATTAAATAACAGCTTAATAAGTTTCTCCATTCATTGATTTGTACTTTAATCTTATATTAAATTTTATAATATTTATATAGGTAAATACAATAATACGATAAATAATGGTATAATTAACAGTTTTATATAATATTTTCAAATCAAGGAAATTTCAATTTTATTCATAAGTACATTCAATAATATATAGAATACATAAATGTATTTAAACGAGGCAAGTTTTTATTAAAACAAATACAATTATTCATTGAAATCGTATAAAATTTAACTTTTATTTATTATTCTTTTATAGATTCATTAGAAACATGTGTCGATTGTAAATTATCTTCTGACTGTTTCTTTTTACTTCCAGAAACTATATCATCAATTCGTAATAAAAGTATTGCCGTTTCAATTGCAGTCTTGTAAGTTTGAAGTTTTACCACAACTGGTTCCCAAATACCATGCTGTTTCATATCGACTAAATGTCCAGTTTGACCATTGATACCCCATGTTACACCTCCAGTGGCGTGCTTTGCTCTCAGTGCAGTCATAGTTCGAACTGTGTTAGCACCACAATTTTGAGCTAAGGTTCTCGGAATTACTTCCAAAGCTTGAGCTACTGCTTTATATGGCCATTGTTCAACTCCAGCAAGACCAGCAGCCTTTTCGTTGAGAATGTGAGATACGGCCATTTCAACCGCTCCACCGCCTATTTATAATAAATTTCAAAATGTTAATTCTTATTTATATTTATACACATATGTATTTATTAATCAATCTTAATATAATCTCGAAAACATTTAAATTATAAGTATTAAATAAATATATATGTATGTATTAAAGGTTCGCTTTTTATTTATCTTTTTAGTTTTTTTTTTCAAAAAAAAAAAAAAAAATATTTTTAAAAATTGAAAAAACTGAAGCTAAAAGATATGCAGCGTGGTATAGAAATTCTTTTATTTCATATATAATTATGAGATTTTTCTAATTTCATGATTAAAGAATTTTCAATTTTGTTTTTGAATATAAATAAATTATGTGTTCAAAATTTTTTCTTATCGTTTTGTAATCCGAAAAAAATGGTTAATAATTCATATCATCTCTAATACTATCAACGTTAAAATTACAGAGACAATAATCTCTAAGAAAACTCTACTGCATTAAAGTCGTTTTAAACAAAGGCCGATCGGATATATTCTTTCCATACAGTTATCTCACACTTTTTTTCTCTCTTTATCAATCACTTATTCTGATATATTGTTGTTGATATATTTTATCAAAGCTTCATAACGGCTCTATTCAAGCTCATACTTCAAGAAATAAATATATTTTAAGTTATAAAGTTAATTATTTTGAATTTCACAATATTATTGCAGTAAGATTACAATATAAAACATGTAGGAATAACGTTCATAATATTTTTCTACTAATTATTGATATTAATATAAAGTTACAACCAATAAATTAGTTAAACTCATATAATATACAATATTTCTAAAATATTTGAATGACTGCAATTATGATGAATGATGAATGCAATTATCGTACTATAATTTCAGAAACAAGTGATGTTACTTCATAAATTATATATTAAAATTTTATTTTAGTTGCTTTTTTCTAAATATTAGCTGAAAATTAATAAAAAATAATTAATTGAAAAATTATAAATTATAAATAACAAATAATAAAGTTTATGTGTATAAATAATATTTTTGTTTCAATTAGTATAAACTGCAACGAATACTTAAATTAATTGTAAATGAAATATATTGTTTCTTTTGAAAAATAGGATTATGGTAATTACTTCTTATATTTTATAAAATTCTCATTATGAGATCTTTTTCATTACACCTAACAACTGATGTTTAATTTTTTTTTAACAATTCTTTACAGTATTAGATAAGCCTATTAATTCAAAATAGTATGTATAAACAAAATAAGGAAAAATTGTACTAATAATTTAATCACTTATATCAAAAAAATATTATTTGATTTTTCACACCTATAAACAGATAGTTACATAAGCGCAGATAGTGGCTGCATAATAATTAGAAAGTCTCATATACTTCCAAGAATAGTCCAATAATAATGGATGATAATTTGTGAATGTTTTTTGTAATAATATATTATAGTAACTAATATTGAACATTATTAGAACAAGTGTTATACTAACAGCAACATTCTACACAAATTAGAAGATTTAGTACTTGAAACTCAAGAGCATAAAGACAAATTGTAAAGAAATAAATATTAAATTATAGAAACGACTATTGTATTGAAAATTCAATTATTATTCCTATTCGAAAATGGATAAAGTTTGTAAAATAATTTATGAAACGGAATTTTCTGTAATGTAAAGTATGATTTTATTACTATGGCTAAATTTTCTATAACTAAAATGAACTATACACAAACATATACTTTTCAAAAAAATGACAATTTTACTGAAATGTAAAATTTATTCATCAGTATACTTATTTATATCAAAGAGAGAAAATTTACCATAAAAACCACGTTTAAAAGCTTTATTTATAACTTTATTTAACTTTATCTATAATTATTTAAACAATTAAGCCTGTGAATAGATAAAAATCAGTGTTCCTTAGTTGTGTTGACTGATGATATAAATAATGTACACGATAGGCAATGAATAAATAAATACTTCAATTAGCAGCCTTAATTTCAATGTATGTTTTATTATTAAATCATTTTAATATCAATTTTAATTTAATTTCTGATTTATTCAATTCAATAAATCAAATTAATCGTGTTATATCATTAAAAATGTCATCATTCATACATATATTATATGCTTATGTATGATGTCTGTGTTTCAGACAGTATGAAAATTTTATGTTATGTATATACGATTTATATTAAAATAATTATGATCTCATTCTTTTTATAGAACTAGTAACTAAATTGTTCAGTTTTATTTTGCCACTGGCGAAATGACTGATCTTTAATAGTCAATATAAGTTATAAAGTTACAATATATATGTTTATTATAATTAATATAATGAGCATAACGATAATAAAATGTATCACTCTTTAAACAATATATTAAAATAATAAACCATATAATTTTCAAATAATTGTTTACATAACTATGTAGAAATAGTTTATCAATAATTTTTTAACAACACATATAATAATATTAATAATTTTATATTTTTTATAATTATGAAAATATAATGAAATTTAGGATCAAAATATATTTTCTCTAAAGTATGAAATATCAAATTTAAAATAAAATTCACATAAAATTCAACTAGCAATGTAAATGTTTAAAACATACATATTTACCTGGAACAAGTTTAGGTTCTGACAGTAAATTTTTAGCAACATGAAGAGCATCTTGTATATTTCTTTCTGATTCATTTAAAATATCTTTGCTTGCGCCTCTTAAAATAATGGTGCACGCTTTAGGATTTATACATTCAGCAATATAACAAAAATAATCATCACCAATTTTTTTAATCTCAAATACTCCAGCACCGGTTCCAACATGACTTTCTTGTAATTCCTCAGTTCGATTAACAATTGTTGCATTGCAAGCTCTAGCTATTCTATTATTATCACTTTTTCTAACTCTACGAATAGCGGAAATTCCAGCTTTTAATAAATAATGCTGTGCTAAGTCTGAGATTCCTTTTTCAGTAAAAACAACATCCGGTTTTACCAAAATAATATTATAGCAAATTTTTTTAATGTATTCTTCTTCAATCTCTAATATTCTTGTGAAATCAGTTTCTTTTAAAATTTCAATATTTGTTTGTGATTCTCCTTTTTTATATTCTAATGGACAATCCAAAAGAACTATACGTGGATTTTTAATAAAACGTCTCATTTTTGGATGAGTTACATCTTTATTTAGCATAATTCCTTTCAGTACGCAACTATCTTCAATGGCTGCACCAGGGAGCTTCTCCACCTAAAAAAATTATTTGAAAAAATAATTTGTTAATAAACATTATTTTTTATATCACATTATTATTTTTAAATTTTTATTAAATACTTGGACATAAATTTTCAAAAAATTAAAAAAAACTGTATATAGTTGTATATATATGTATTATTCTATAATTAAATTTATAAATTATATTTAAAGAAAAATTTAGTCCAACTTAACCGCAAAATTCTGAAGTGCATAATATTAATTACTAAATTAGTAAATATTTTTTTATAAACATTACAATTTCTATAGTTTCCTAATGTTTAGATATCATATCTTCTCCCCTATCTCCCTACCCAGAATGATGAAAATCCTTGATAAGTCACTAACAAGCATAAATATATGTACATATAATTATAGATTTTGTTTAAAATCTAAATAAAACATGGATTTCATTTTAAATTGCTCCTTAAATTAAATAAATTTAAGAATTAAATAAATTTAAATTTGTTAAGCTAAATTAATGTTAAATTATTTTTATTTCATAAATTGAATTTTCATAGAAGCAAAGATATTGCTACTTTATTTCTATGGCATATTATCGTTTTAAATTGATAAAATCCATTTGCCTAAAGACAATTTGAAATAATACAATTTATGTTAATTTTAAAAATAAAATGGTTATGAAATATATGAATAAATACTATTGTATTAGGCAAAATGTAAAATAAATTATGAAGTTCTCAAACTGGAAATTTTGGATATAAAATGTTAAAAATATTTCAAATTTTTTTAAATTATTCTAATCAGTATATATAAAAAAAAAAAACTATGTAAAAATTTTAGAGGATTTTAGATTAAATTTGAAAATATAAAATATTTTAAAAAAATATTGACAAACAATTTAATAAAAATAATAAATAAAGAGTAAAAAGTATTAAGAAAAATTTTTGTTTAAATGAAATTATATAGTTTAGTTGTATTTCTCTTATTTTTTATTCTTTGAATTGATAAACTTATACTGAAACAAATGAAGAAACAAATTTTTCAATACAACATATATAGTATAAATTAATATTATTTTTTGTAGATAAATATATATTAAAATTTAATGTACATGAAGAAATTAGTTTATACAAAGTACTACTTATTCTCTGATGCCTATTTACTATCATTAAAATTACTTACACATAAATGTGGATAGCTAAACTTAAAGTGACAATACCTTTACATATCGTTTAATATCAATCTCTTGATAACCATTCTGCTTCATTATTATTGTCTGAACTGCTTCTAATGCTATTTCACATGCTAAATAGGACCAACGTCCAAGGAACTTTGTTCCAATACAAGATTGGACCACTTCAGCAAGCTTATTTTTGTCATTGCAATCAAGTTCTATACTTAGATTTTCATTTAATATTGATATCATATCTTCAAGTGCTTGTTTATAAGCTTTGATGACAGTAGTGGGATGTAGGCCCTGTTCTAAAAATGGTTCAGCATTTGCCAACATTTCACCAGCTAATACTATTACAGAAGTGGTTCCATCACCAACTTCTTCATCTTGTGTTCTAGCTATTTCAATCATTGATTTTCCAGCAGGATGTTGAAGGGTTATTTCACGTAAAATTGCATTACCATCATTAGTCATCACTATTCCACCCATTGGATCCATTAACATTTTTAACATTGCTTGTGGTCCCAAACATGTTCTAATAACATCAGCAATGGTCTGTACATAATAAAATATGTATTTTCATATAATTAAATTAATAAACATATATATACAAACTGTGTTTAAATTGTGTTAAAAAAAATAAAAAATTTTAAATATAAATGTATTTTATATAGATGAAACTATTTTGTCAATCTATTGTTATTATATTACATAATTATCACATTATTATTAGTTACTTTTTACATTATAAAATAAATAATTTTATTTAGAGTTTTGATAAAATTATTAATAGAATATACTAAGTCATAGTAATTAATGATATAAAAAATGAATTATACAAAAGGTGTATAAAAATTATAAATTGAATTTTTCGAATTAAAAATCAAGTTTTTTTCTTGTAAAAACCTCTCGATTTGAATGTATCATTCATAAATTATAGGTAAATAAATTTTGTTTAATTGATAAAATAATTCATGAACAGAAAAATTAATAAAAAGGATATTAAGTTTTTTAATATTATACAAAAACAAAAGAATAAATATTGGTGATAGTTAAAAATTTGGAATAAGAAATAAAAAATTGGATATATAAATTCTTTCAATAATTATAATTAAAAATTATTAATTAAATATATTAATAAATGTGTAATATATTAAATATCTTTGTATAAACTTTTATATATTTTAAGTGTTCTCAAATTCCAAGAAGGCTACCTATATTAAATTTTGAAACGAATAAATAAGTATTGTATTAAATCATATGAAATATAGCAAATCATTACACATAAAAAAAAAAATATATAAAATTGAAAGGAATATAAATATATAAAAATGGAAAAACGTTAGAATAAGACATTTAACTGGATAAAAAAAAAGTAAACTAATATTAGAAAATTTTTTAAATATTTATGATATTAATCTATTGAATGTTAATGTATGAATGAAAAACTAAATTATAATTTTTTAACATAAAATCATTTGTATATATATACATATCTAATTATTATAAATAAATATGTAAGTAAATGTATAAAATAATCAAATTCTCTAACATAATTGTTATTGATATTCAAATTCAAATATTTGTTACCTTAAATATCAACATAATTGATTTAATGTAATATATATATACATATATATATTTATATATAATTACATTTTTGCACATTAAAGATCTATCATGCATTTTTCTATACACATTTTCTGAAGTTGTTTAATAAAAAAAAACTTTAAAACTTTTTAAACGGAGAATTAAACCTACCTTTCCGGCTTGAATATTTTCTTTTTGAACTTTTCGGCCTGAATCACGTTTTGTATTTTGGCCTAAAATATATTATATAAATAATTATATTTAAACAAATGATTATTCTTTTTTCAATACTTACTTAAAACTACAATAGGAGTTGCTCCAGGTCTAAACATTATGCAAATTTTTATTTTATCGCAGTAATTAATAAAAAGGAATTGAAAATTATTTTGTTTATTTGTATTTCTAACCTAAATATGAGTATTTCTATAGTATTACCAAACACGTTCTTATATTTTTTACAACACGAAAGAAACAGTTAGACAGAGGTGTCGACTAGTATAATGCGTTAGTAAAAGCATCTATTTTTACTTAGTAGTAAGCATATTGGTCTTTACGCATTAATAAAGTACGGGAATATATTATTCTTATTAATCCTATTTGTATTCTTATTCTTATTATTCTTATTCGTATTCTTATTCTTACACTTATTATTAATATTATTATTATTATTATTATTATTATTATTGTCGCAGATAATACATAAAATATATAACCAATATTTAATGCAGGTAAAACTAAAAGTCCACATTTATGGTTAAAAATACTTGTACCTGTATTTTAAATTGGTATATATTTTTAAACTGATTGGTTATTATTTATATAACTATTGCTTAATTACATAACTATTATCGAAAATGAATGTTTCTTTTTTTTCTCTTGTTTGATAGTGGTAAGAATTATTCTTTCTTGTCGGTTATTTTAATTTCAAGTCTAACTATAGCTATTTTATCTAATATTTAACTTCGAACATTTATTACAAATACAATTGAAATAGTAGAATTTATAATATTTATATTACTTTCATTTTACAGTTTAGGATTGTTTATTTTCTCTATTACTTTTAAGATCAAAGAGAATAAATAAGAAAAACGCCAAATTATAGTAATAATAGAAAGTTCTGAACTATTCGCTTATTAATAAAGTTTAAGGATGCATCCTATAGATATTGTTAATTTCTTTATTTTCTGTATACTTTATAACAAATTCTGGTTTTGTTAAAATGTTTTAGTACGAGAAAATAATCATGAAGAAAACAAAAATAACGAAATTCGATGTATCGATTAATTTCCATTTTGGCAATATGAAATAATCGACTTATTATTTGTATTTATTTTGTTATTTGTGTCTCATCATATCACAGAATTGATACAATTTTCTTATTCAGAAGTTAAATTTAGTTGGACGTAAACTTAATCTTTTTTAAATTGCTATGTAAATATGATTATAATTTTAATATTTATATATACAATGTGATTTGTATACTAAAAGAAATAAAATAAATACGAAGAACTATCGCATAGTTATCAACATTATAATAATAAGAGTTACGAAAAATTGAGAATGAAGGAAGGATCTTAAAAATAAAATTTAAAATATAAATTTTTTAACTTAATTGGAAAAAAATTGTATATATTTTTAATATGTCTGTATTCTGCTTATAATTTTTAATTCCTTATCTATCAAACTTATACAATTTTATTCAATTATGATGTTACTAAAAAATTAAAGAAACATTTACAATTTCGAAGAAAAAATTATAAACTCAATTTTTCAAAAATTCATTATAATAAGTTTATTATAATAAACTCGTTGATAGGTAAATTCTTCAAATTTCATTCAATTTTATATTGCAAAATGTTACCTATTTATACTAGTATTAATAATTTAAATGAAAGTGACCATATAGCTTCACTTTGAGTAAAATTTCAGTAGTGGTACAATCAATAGGTAATCTTTGGATTTGTGATACTTGATAATAGTAATATTTTATTACTATTCCCCTAAATTGAATATTAAATCTATAAGAGCCCAGAGCTATTAACGTAACTAATTGGATTGATTAATTAAAATTTTATTTTTATATCATTTATATTATTTTCATATAATTGAATTTTGATATAACAATATAATAAATACTAACAATATAATATCTTGAAACACGTTAATATGAGATTTAAAAAACTATGTTTGTTGTTTGACAATAATATTGAACATTTGAGTTGTTATAATAAAATATAAAACTTATTTATTAAATGTAAAGATATTTTTGTAATTAATACTGTTAAATATATATACACTTTGTATAGACAGTTGAAAGTTAAAGTTGTTGTCAAATTAGCCTTTATTGAAGTAATAAAATAATACGGTACAGAATAATGGAGACTAAACCGCCTCGTTTTAAATGTATAACTCGTGATCGAATTTCAGTTTGTGATCTACTACGATATCTATAGAAAAACATCTATTAAACGGAAGTATGTAGTTTCATGACTTAGAATGCTTTCGGTTCCAATATTCCTAGATACTGAAGCTATTTACGATAAAAATTTGTATTAAACAATAGTTCGCGTATTATTCGAATTCACAAATAGTTATAAAATTATTTTCTTCATGACGGTGCTTATTACTTTATTTAATAGATTTGATTTATTTTTTAGATAGATTGATTTATTAAATATATCAAAATTTTGAATTGGTAAACTATATTGAAATAAGCCTGCTTTTTTTATAATAAAACATCCGGTAGTGAAAATGTAAATTAAAACACTTAAAACTCTTGTATAAATTAATAAAATATATATCATGAATATTTTAAATAAAGATTTCTAATAATTTAAAATATATATATATAAATTGAACAAGATGTTACATAATTATTAATAAACGTTATTTATTAGAATAAATATGATTAATGTGTATAATTAAAAATATTTAATTGACTAGTAAAATTGTAAAAAAAAATTAAATAATCTATATTCAGCTTTAGATATGATTATTTTTAAATTATTTGTTAGTATTTTCATATTATTAAACTTCTCTGAAATTATCAATAATTTTGATAAAATATACAAGCAATTAAATTCACGCATGCGTATTGGATATTGAATGTTTTCTTTCATACGAAAAATACAAATTTTATTTGTACATTAATAAAATAATTTAATACGGATTGGTATCTTTTCATCGTATAATACGTAGATCTGCATTCTTATTGCAAGGTATGTTAACAATTAGTTAAAATATAAAATTTAAATATTAGTAAAATTTTTAATTTTATATAGATAAAAATAACATAATAAAATTGACTAGAATATTTATTAATTTTCTTAGTTACCATCAAACATTATTAATAAATAAATAATTTTTAAATAATGTTGAATTTGAGCTTTATTTAAAAATATTATTTTAATTATGCCAATGTACACTGTTAAAAATTGCAATTTTATCATAATAATTTCTAAATTAATTTTCTTATTAATTAATGTAAGGTTAGAGTACTATATGAACATATTGACTGAAATTTATAACATCGCTAAAGTAAATTTGTATTTAAAATTATTGATATTAAATCAAATGAAATATTTAACAATAAAAAGTAAACTAAAATAACATCAGGTATATAAATACATATAGTTTTTTAAAATACTTATATTTTTTTGTATAATTAAGTTTATGTTTCATTTGTTTTCTTTACACATTTACTCTACAAATATTAAATAAATTAAATTATTTAACTAAATTAATGTTAAATCGGATATTTTAAACACTTATAATTTTAATAATTATAATTTATAAAACGAATAAACTTTAAAATAATTAAATTGTTGAAAATTAAAAAATATTAATATTTTAAAGCTGGTAAAAATCTATCTATGTATTAATTATATATATAGATAGAAAATTCTATTAAATTAAATTCTATGAAATTCTATTATTCTTTATATACATTTTTAAAAATTAAACTATACATATCATAAATTACTCAATATTTTTAAATTAAAAGAATATTTTTAAAATAAGAAATGTTAAACTACTGAAAACATATATCAGTTGACATTTCACAATTTTATAATTCAAATTTTAAATTAATAATGTAGATAAAGTTTATTATGATTACACCAATAATATAATTAGATATAATCGATTAATTGTTTTCCTAATGATTTTATTAAAATGTTAATAATAATTGATTATAGTTTTGAAAATAGAAATTATAAAATCAATATATATATATATATATATATATATATATATATATATGTGTGTGTGTGTGTGTGTAATTTAAAAATTAATTTTTTTATAATTTCTTATAAAATAATGTTATTGTTCTATGAATATGATACCATACACATAATTAGAGAGCCGAAACAATCTTATTAATTTTTGAACATTGAATATTTTACTTTCATTGATCTATTATAAAAATTAAATTATTATTAAATATATTTAGTATTTATATAATTATATTTATGTTTAAAAATTAAAAATATATATAAGTTATTTTATTAATCAAATATTACAAAATTCTAAAACACAGTTTATGTATATAATAATTTTTATTTAACTAATATAAACATGTTGAGTTTTAGAAAATTTAGATATCACGGAAGAAAACGTGATAAATTCATATTTTTACATTAAAATCATTGATAAAATCAAAAGCTACAACAATTGTTGATATATACAAATTGTAATATATGAAATAGTCACATATTTTAACTTTAACTTTCATTAAAATACTTATTTTATTGATCATATTAACATTGTATAACGCAAATGATATGTGAGGGTATACCATCTAAATTAGATTACAACACAAAAATAAATAAGAATAACGTGTGCTAGAATGTAATGGTCGAAATAGAATTACGAGTATATCAACTAAATATATATTTAAAATTAATAAAAAAATAACTGTATACACAGGTGCTGGATTATTCCCTTTGATCAATAGTTATCTTGTCATACAATTTTGGTGCAATATACTAGCAATTTTATGCTATATTACGGAATTTATCTGGAAGACAAAAGAAACCACAACCTTTGCTTAAGAAAAAAATAGTATAATTGAAATAAAAATTTCCTGAACAGATATCGTAATGAAATTTTTTTGATAACCATGACTGCTTTGTAAGACAATAAGATTTATTTAATGTGTAGATTTGTTTATAGATGTGTTCTGTTCTTTTGTAGTTAACAAAATAGATTTACAAATAACATAGTTGAACTCTTTGTATACATTCCTAGTTACAAATATTAAATACAAATAAGAAGTCAAATAGTCAAATTAAAAAATTTGTGTATAAATAACTATATATAATTATATCTATAAATAATATGCGTTTTGCCTTGCACTATCTAAATAATTATAATTTAAATGTTATCACTAATTTTAGCTTTTAAGATCCAAAAAACTTTGTTTTTTGATTTTATCCCATAGAATCTGTATTAATATTAAATTAATTCCATACCTTATTAATGATGTTTAAAGATTGGCATGAAGGTATCTAATATATTTATACATACTTTATTTAGTCTTTCAACCTTAAAGAGATTTAACAAAATATATAATTCGAATATCTACAATCAATTTAAATTCCATTAAATATTTCCTTCATCTTTCTTCCTTCACTTCCCAATCTTGTATTTGAATATCTTTTGCACCTTTTTTAATTTCAATTCTTCCCATTTTTAAAATAGTAAGATTTATTGTATCTATTTTTTACACGCTTTTTCTATTCCGTAATGCCTTAATAGACAGACATTATCAAATACTATATCTTATAAACTTTTTATAAATATTCATAAACTAAATATTTCTCATTTCTATGAAAACTTTTATATAGACAGTCTGCAAATAGATCATAAATTTTGTGAATACTTAAGACTAATCATAATTTAATATCTCACTATTTAAAGTAAGCTAAAACAACTTTGTTAGTGTAATTTTCGAAAGAATAAGTAAGAAAGAATAAAATTTTGTACATAAAATTAAAATTACTGTTAAGATTTATAATTAAAAAAAATTTTACTTATCTTATAAATACTTAGTGGAAATATAAAGCTTAAGTTATATAAAGTTAAATTAAGTTATAATTGCACAAAAAATGTTATTGTTAGATTATTTTCTCAACTACATTATAATTACATATATAAAAAAATTTTTTTTAAATACTAAGTGTATATAAAATATATATTCTTTTATCAATTTGTTTTAATTATTTTTTATTCACCTTCAAAATCACAAATTTTATTTTGGATTTACAATTTTAAAATCCTATTTATTTTTATATTATAATTTCTATATACATTTATTTATTCGTCTGATAATAACTCTAAAATATTCTGAAAGTCAAAATTTCTACTAAATGTATTATTAAATTATAATTTACTATATTTAATTATGATAACACTAGATTTTTTATATAATATATGTAGCATTGTTGTAAGCTAATTATTAAAAATTTATTTTGATTACTTTTTTTATTAAAAATTTTATTGTTATGTTTAATATAATTGTTGCAATATAAATTTCATTATTACCCTAGTTTATAATGTAAGTGTATGCAATAATTTTAGATTTTATATTTAAATTTTCAATAATTTCTTATGTACATTCAAAAATATTGTAGTAATGAGTAACAAGAAATTACTAATTTCTATATACAAGATATAATGTGCTAATTTCTATTTGTATCAATGCTATATTTTTCATTTTATTATATTGTTTATTTGTTTACAATTACTTATGCTAGAACTGTATATTGTTTTCATTTTATATAATATAAACTGTAAAGGATTTTGATAATAGTAGCATATTAGAATCGAATATTTATATTGTTTTCATTTTATACGATATAAACTGTAAACGATTTTGATAATTGTATCATATTAGAATTGAATAAAATCAATGAATAAACTACAAAAGCTCTATTTAGCCCACTGAAAACAGTATGAAACTGATTTTATTGAACCGTGAACATTATTTAGAAGGCACTTAAACATTTGAAAATCGAAAAACAATATAATAAATATTGAACCATATATTTTTTATCGTAGAGAGACGTAATCATAATTTATGATTACTTTTCACAAGCTATGATGTACATTTCCTTATATTTAATATTATTAAGCAAATGTATTCTAGTTATTATCTCTGATTATCTATTAACTAATCACTTTTATAATAATAATAATCATAACAAATTTAATTAATTTTGTTTCAGATAAGCATGACTTTATTCCGAAATAGTTATAATAGATGTAATTATTTAGGAAAAGTTAGTATTTTGTTGATTAGTGTATGGTTACTAACAATTATTTTATCAATAAATCATATGTTTAAAAATAATTCGATAAATTCATCTGATTATAATCCAGACTCCAAAGAAGATAGTGAACGATTATTGCACATGATTAATAATTTACACATGCTTAAAAAACAAAATAAGGCTCTTCGGAATATTATATTAGGGTAAGTATAAAATATTAAAGAAATTAATTGTAATAGCATTATTTCTAATGTCTTTGAAATTGATATTTATTAATTTCTTATGCCATAAAACATTAGAAAATCTATCAATAAATAAATAATAAAAATAATTCTTATTTCTCATACATTTTTTAAAAGTAATTATTTATAATTTTTAATTAATAAATTAAATATAAAGTACTTTTATTCTTTATTTTTGAAAATTTTAAAAATTATGATATGTACAAACGAGTATTCAGATTATAGCTTGTGAATAACAATAACAACCCAATTCTTTTTTGTTGCAATTTTCTTAATTTTAAAATATATTATAAGCTATAATTATGAATGCAATTAATTATATCTCCAGTTTTTTTTTTCAATTCATGGTAGAATATTAATTAAGTAATGCTATTAACAGTAATAGAGTTTCTTAATTATGTATAAAAATACATGTACATTGGCACATACACTTATAAGTAACTAAATATAATAATATTGCAAAGTATCGGCATCCTAAAATCGAATCGACAAATTTTCTGAATTAAAATGTATGTTCAAGCTATTATTTTTTATTAATGTATAGACACTGACATTAGAAAATTTCCTATATCATATTGTATATCTTTGTTCTATTACTCCTATCGTTATTAATATCATTAACTACTCGTAACGTTATCACCTACTCATAACTAATGATTCAATATTAATTTAATATTAATTACGTGAGTTTCGGTAGAAACGGCATCATAAATATGTCGCTAATTACATTTTTACACAAACTTTTAAGGCTGCTTATACAATTATTATGATTTTCAAATATATTATACAAAAAAAATCTTAATAAATCATAAAAGTTTTTTTGTCTCTCCCCTTTATATATCTTTTATATGATACATATTTTTATATATCGTTACGTCTCTCTATGTATATCTTTACGTATATCTTGTAATAAATCAAGGTAAGAATAATTCGCACCAAAATATTTTCCATTTTCATTTCTCGTAATAACAGGATTTAATGTACTTCTATCTTTGGGATAGTAAATGTTTACCGTAACTTTTTATTTTATTATGATGTCTATCATTCGTTTGCTTTCATTCCTCCATCCATCCTCCATTCTTTACTATACTCTACTCCTTTATAATCGTTGTAAATTAGTTAAATTGGAATCAGTTATATTTAATAATTATGTACACTTCTTAATTTTTTATGAAGTAATAATTTATATATATATTTCTAGAAGTAATTTTGGAGCTGCACAAGAAAGTTATTTAAAAACGGTTCCTAATAAAATACAAACAAATTCTGTTAATCGTGATTTAATTAAGCGACAAGATGATATTAATAAGAAATATTTTGAACCAACATTAAAATACGAAGAAATTCGACGAAAGATCAGAAACGATGTTCAGGAAATGTGGTAAGTACAATTTATAGCACAATTTTTTTGTTGCAACTAAAAAAAATTGTGTCATGGCATTATATATATTTAAGTAAGAGGTATAAAATAAAAAATGCTATGTTTATTTAAATAAAATATTAAAATTATTATTGGCTATTGTAAATTCTAATTTTAAATATAAATGTAGTGAATATAACTTGAATAGCAGTACATATTATAATATTGAATTTGTTAGTTTCATATATTAAAGTCTATACTACTAATCAAAATAATGCATAAACTAAAAAAATATTCTAATATTTTTATCAAGGATATTTTCGATTCTTTAAGATTTTTTTTTTTTTGGGTTATTAGGATCATTAGGAATATTATATTTAAGCTTCTTCTCAGAAAGTAAAATTTTACATAAAAAGTGAATCGAATCGCTATATAATAATGTAAAATATATAATTAACGTGAGTGAATTTTTTTTTTGTAAATTAAAGTAAGGTAAATTTGCTATTATTTTATAAATTAATGAAAATATTAATTAGAGTTCTTTCTTCAATGAACAGAACAGAATTATATATATATATATATATATATATATATATATATATATCTTTTCTTTTGTTCATTCATTTGGAATTTATTATTGTCTTCAATGAGAACAACATATAAAGTGGACATATATTTTGATAGTATAACTCAAATTTACAATTGAAATTTAACATAGTATTAAAAATTTGTATATAAAACAATTTAAAGGATTGTAGCAAAAAAAATCATTAAATATTATTTCATATTGTCAGAAATTTTTATTACTAGCAGAAAACTAATTTTTTAATTATATTAATAGTTTATTTCCAATTGAAAAAGCAAAACGATATTGTGGATTCATTGTCTAATTTTTTTAATAATCTAAAAATATGTTAGATTATCTATTTTTCATGTTAGATTATTCTATTAATATATGCGAAAATATAATTTTAGTAATATATATAAAGTTTATTTGTAATTTTTAATTTTTATAAGAGTTGTTAAAATTATAAATATATATTGTTGATATTATAATAAATATGTATTATAAGTTTTGTATTTATTCTTTAGTTTGAATTACTCAAAATTAAAGCGTGGTTCGTTATAGAATTTTGAAAGTTAAATTAAAAAAATGCTTAATTTACAGTCATAAAATTTATAATGAAGTACTTTTAATAAAAAAAATTTTTAATTGAAAATTGCTCTTTATTTAATTATTTACGACCACTAATATTTAATTTGTAATTAATTTAACAAACGCGATTTATGTGCCCATGAGTACTATGTAAATGTGACTTACTCAAATATGTAACTGAAGAAAAACTGTGAAGATATACTAATAAGGCGACATAATGGGGATAGATTTTTAAAATATCTAAAAAGGAAGAATATGTCAAAAAATCAAAGAAAAAAAGTTCAATGATTGCGTATTTTTAAATGACAGATGAATGATGAGTAAAAATCCTTGAACCACTGTTCTGTTTTGGTATTCACCGCACCGTATAATATAATACATTTACGATTTGAGCTTTGTGGCATAAAGTTATACACTTGGTATAAGAAAAACTGTGTGAGTTGAAAGTCAAAGTTTACGTTTCATATATACTAAAAGCGTATGTTAGCATACTATCGTCCCAACCTCCCTAAATTATCAGCTATTTATCAGTTGTTCGTATATAAGCAAAGTTATTGTTAAGTATTGTGTTTATACAAAATGTTTACCCATATAGCGTAATACCTTACAATACGTACTTGCACTGTACCTGTGCTCAATAATAATTATACATTTGTAATACATACTTACCATTTGTTTGGCACTTCTACCATTATATGCTAGATACACTATAATCTATATAATATTTATAAATATCTATGCATACAAATCTTAAAAAAACATAATATATCATCGAAAAATTTGTAAATAGTTTTGAATTATTATTATTGATTTATATATTGTATTGGATATTACTATGCTATTTTTATAATTAGGTAACAATAATAGTTTCTTCTAATTGTTATTTAAAGAAGTTAATCTCATGATGCAGATAATCAATTATCTACTTCTTATTGATTTCTTAGTGAATATGAATTTTAATTTTCTATTTCTTCTTCAAACTCGTAAGCTATTCTTAAAACAAATTATTTTATAATAGAAGAAGTGATATAAGCAATAAAAACTTTTGTAAGGTATTTGCATTATCACAAAGAAAATGATATCCCAAACACTAGGTTTATTATATACATCAAAGTTAAATAGTATTAATTTTACTTCACAAATATATCGAAATTATAAAATATACGTACAAAATTAATAATTTGTAACTTGATTTTCAATATTATATAAATAACAATTTATATAACTATATGATATATATGCTATAACTATAGCACAAAAAATTTATATAAATTTAGTATAAAAATGTATAAAAATGTTCAAGAATTCATCAAATTGTTAAATATAAAATTAAATACTCATTAAAAGTTTTAACAACAAAATACTATCGAGGCATTATGAAATATTCGCAAATAATAAAGCGTTCGTTAATAACTTCTAATATTCAAATGTAAATATATAATATATCCATTAAAGCAATCGCTTTTTTTATACTAAGTAACCTTTTAATTTTTCATATTTATTATTTATATATTAAAATTTCATTTCATGTACTTTATATAATAAATAATAACAAAAAAACAATTATAAAATTATATAAACTTAATAAATATAAGGAAAAAATAATACAAGCTTTCTCTTTTATCAGTTATTACAATAGTTTCAAAACATTTTTTAAATATAATTAAGATCTATAATAAAAGTGAGATTAATGAACATCAATAGCTATAACCGCAACACTACTAAAACTCAATATAAAAATATGCTTAAAAATAACAGTAAGAATCATGATTCAAGGCTGAAAAAAAACAAATCGATTCTATACTTCCATATGTATTATTAGCAGATTAAGAGAAGTCATCATGAAAACTACCATTTGGAAGTGATATCTTGCATTATCCTTTTGAGATATTACACATAAGTAGACAATAAAAGTAGTGATCGAAAATGGAGAAATTAGTAACTACAAAATTATATAATCGATTTATCAATCTAAATAATCAAAAAAGAAAAAATAATTAAATATAACCTCCCAAGTTAAATTCAACAACCCAAACAGTTATTATTAGCTACATACTCTAAACCTTTAATCTACTTCGATAATAATTGAGCATCTTAAACATAGTGGTTATATTTAACAAATCATAAATTTAACAAAATATTTAGTTGCTTCAAATTAGCGTAAGTATTATATCCTTTAAGATATTTATGTAAAAATATACGATATATAATATTTTCTATAGAATATTTGTATTCAGATAATTCAATATAAAGAACAAATTAAATAATTTATAAATATTATACTAAAATCAACTTACATAAATTAATCAAATTTTGTCATTATTTTAGGTATTTTATTAATGCAGAATTAAATAAAATCAAGAAAAATACACAAAGCCATAATTTGAAAAATGATATTGAAACAATGATAGATCATTTTAACGATTATAAAAAATCCTTAGCAATTAATGTAGATAAGTTATCTAATATAGATGGATATGCAAAGTGGCGTGAAAAAGAATCTTTTGAAATATCTGAATTAGTTCAAAAACGCTTCAGGTATGTTTTCAAGGGCTTGTAAAAGCTACAAATAATGTATAGTTATTGAGAATATAAACAAATTAAATCATTTTATTACCAAAAAATTAATTTTTGTAATTATATATTTATAAGATATATATATATATACAAATTTTATTGAAAATTTGACAAAGATAAAATGAAAATTTTCTATTGACAACTAATACCATATATAAACAATTGAAAATAATAAATGAATATTTATTATATTTCTTTTTAAATTCTTTTTATGTACAATATAGAATGTTATGTTAAATTTTGATTTACAATACACATATAATTTTATTTTATTTTTTTCAAAAATTACTATAAAGTTTTTCTGACGATTTTATCAATTCGTAATAATTATTCGTTTTGAGATATAAAATTATATAATACAGATATTTAGAATACTAGTATTTTTACAAATTATTGTATTTGTGAATTTCTTAATGGCATAGATATGTTTTTATTAGATTATACAATTCTAAATTTTTTATTAAATTTTTATACATGAATAATATATTTTGTAACAATTTTAAAAAATAATGAAATACTATTGCACGAATTTTATGTTTCTACAAGTAACTGAAAAAATATAGTTTGAAAGAATTCAAACAGATTGATATATGTGTAAAGAATTTACCTATACAACATATTACAAAACAATATATCATTATCATATAAATTAGAAAAAAGTAGTTAAGCTTCATGAATTTTAATCTTTTTATTGCATTAACACGTGAAGATATCATAAATAAATTAATAAAAAAAATATATTAGTAGAAATTATTTCCTTGAAGAATGAGATTAAAATAGATGACTCGATTAATATGTACCAAATAGTTGAAAGATGATTTTTTCATTCTTCAAAATTGAAGAATGCAATTGATTAATTATAATTAAAAACTTATTTAAGTTTAAAAACCATTAATATTGATTTGAACAAACCCAATATTTAATATTAATGGAGTTTAAAATTACTTTTACAAAAGAAGTCATTAATTTATTAATTTTTGCTGAAGAACATTACAATAATATAATATAAAATGCAGTTTAATCAATTATAATTTAAAGAAGACAATTATACTTTCAAGGGAAAAAATATTAGAAAATATATGTTAGAATCTTTAAAGCAAATTATTTTGGTTATGTATAACTGTATAACTGAAAGTTTTCTTGTTCATAATAAAATTTATGTAAAAATAAAGTATATAGTTCACTATTTTAGATGATTCAAAGTGGGATTACATATATGGATTTGCATTTTACAAGTTGCAGATATTAAATCTAGAATTCGATGTTATAAATGTTAAAGCATTGGATATAAATTACACTTGTAATATGATCCATAAAGTAATGCGTTATATAATAGAGATGTGGATCTTGAAGATTCTTAATCTATATTTAATGTTAAATAAATAAACTATATTATAGCATATAATACAGAATATTGATTTAAAATATTAGTGATAAAATAATAAAAATGCTAAACAATAAAATTGAAAGTATATGTGATAAAAATATTTACAAATTTACGTAGTTTTCATATACATGCTTATTTAAAAAATAAATTAATATTACCCATAAGATTCATAAATTAAATCTAACAAAATGTTAGAAAATTTAGTATCGGAACATGAAACGAACATTGAAACTATGGATTATCAGTCATATTAATCTAACATCATTAAATTCAATTTTATCAAAATAAATATTTTCTGTAATATGAATCAGTCTATTGCAGATCTGAATTCCTTGTATATTAGCTTTAAATTTTATAGCAGAATGGACAATTTTATTGAGATATTTGAATTATTCTCATAACAAACATCGCTTAGTAAAGAAATGATTGACAATAAGACTTCTATAATCTGATACTGATAGTAACTATTTTATATTCCTTTAATCTCAGTGTTAATATATATCAAAAATATCCAAAGTAGTTTTATTATAAAAACAGATGGTGATACTGGTTTATTTAATGGCCTTCAACATTGTTTGCTCGTTATAGTTATTACTCAATACGATCTGTTTCAAATTCAAAGATAATATTCATTTAAGAATATATTCTGAATCTCTTAAATGCTTATTAAATTATTGAGTACATTCACATCTAAATAAAGAATATTTTTTAAATAAAATGAATATTCAACTAAATACATTGATCCACTAAGTCAGTGTTCTGTGATTTCATACAAAGAATAATTTTTCAGAACTTAACATGATATTTGATAATAAGGGTCATTATTAAGTATTATTTAAAAATAGAGTTTATATACTTCAGAAAAATATTGGGAAAGATGGAACTCTTCAATTACAGAAGTCCGAGATATTTTGAATTCATCACTTAATACAGTTACTTACCAGCTACTTTATCTGTCAATATACATATGAGCATTTAAAAGATGTGTAAAGAATTTCTTAATAGCTTCTAATATTGGATTAAGGTATCGAATTCCTTATCTCTTATTTTAGAATCTTTTAAAATATTGAAGATAATTCAAATAAATAACTGTTTTCAGCCTGCCAGCTCATCTAAGACCAATCATATAAGGATCATATCAATGTAGTTACTATTTTGGTACTTATATCGTAGATTATTAAAAATTCTATAGTAAAAAATAGCTCGTACTTCTCTTCTACTTTGAACGGAGATAAAAATTATAATAATAAAAAGGAAATAAAGTCTATAGAAGATACTATGACATGATTTAATACGAAGTCAAAGTTTTCTACACCAACTGATCTAGCATCACCAATATCATAAAAGGTTCAACACGAAGTCTCAACAAAATGTTTATCGGTATAATTGATTTCTTGTCAATAGCATTGTTCGCGAATATAACTCAAATGATTGTAATCTGTGCAGTAATATGAATTTTAGTATCTAAAAAAATAATTCTATTGCTTTTATAAGAGATTTTGAATTTTTCGTTATTTAGTAGATTATTACTTAAGATTTTTTGATGACAGATATTGTATCAACGTTGTAATACTTTTGAAATTTCTGCATTCTGCAACCTACAATTAATACGATTAATTGTGTAGCCTTTAATTAATTTTTTTTTTCATATTGTGTCGTGTTTATTTATACTTCAAAATGACTATATATTCAAACAATAAATGCAATATTATTTTGTGCCGAAATTGATGTTATGTGTGCAATCATTAGTAAAGAATGTTTGTAATTATTTCAAATATCTTGACTAAAGTCGAAACTGCTCCTCGCTTCTCACTCATTAGTTATAATAGTATTTCAAAATAGTGCCTTTTTACTTTCATTGTTATAAAAAACACATTAGATACAAGTGATCGAAGATAATTATTTAAGTAGATTTAATGAAAATTAATAATTTATTCATTTTAATCAAAACGGAAATTTTAAATATCAATTTTGTGTAATATATATTATTCACTTTTACATGTGCTACTTTCACAGAAATTTATTTATTTTTTAATTTGTTTTTTACTGATTGATTAATTCCATAATTTCTACTAAACTGAAGATTTCTTAGCTGCATTCATTTACAAATTTGTAGAACGAATTTGTAACCTAAACAACTATATATTATTAATTTTTTAATATTTTTTTAAATTATACAAAAATGGTCAAATAATTATTTATGAGATATTTTCTATCTCAAAGGATAAGTACTTAAATCTTCGCATATAAAGCATTGCATAATTTATTACATTTATTTTGATTAAGTTTTATTTCAGTTTTTGTATTTCTATTTTTTTATAATTAATTAAATATTATTTACACAGCTATCTACAAAATCCTCAAAACTGTAGCAGTGCAAAAAAGTTAATATGCAATATAAATAAAGGATGTGGTTTCGGTTGCCAGGTAATATATCAAAGTATTTTTTAATACAAATAAAAATTTAAAGTATAAAAAAAAACTAGAATAATTTAGTAGTGTAAATAATTTTTTATTTACAGATACATCATTTGGTATATTGTTTTCTCGTAGCCTATGGAACCGAAAGAACACTTATATTAAAATCAAAGGGATGGAGATATCAAAAAGAAGGTTGGGAATCTGTATTTAAACCACTTAGTGATACGTGTCTTTCTGACAGTGGCGAAACTCATGCAAATTGGCCTGGTGATCAATCAAAACAAGTTATTACATTACCTATCGTAGATAATGTATATCCAAAACCTATATTTCAACCTCCAAGTGTACCTGCTGATTTAGCTCAAAGACTTCAGAAAATTCATGGATATCCACTCGTTTGGTGGGTGGGTCAAGTTTTGAAATATCTAATGAGGCCAAATGAAAGTACGAAAATATTGTTAGAAAATAAAAAACAAAAGATAAAATTTAATAATCCTATTGTTGGTATACATATACGTAGAACAGATAAAGTAGGTACTGAAGCTGCTTTTCATGATATAGATGAATATATGCTTAAAGTTCAGCAATATTTTGATAGTTTAGAAACAAAGCCCGAAATAAAACGAATTTTTTTAGCGAGTGATGATCCGAAAGTGATCATTACTGCCAAAAAACGGTATCTAGAGTATGAAATTATAGCAGATACAGATATAGCGCAAACAGCTTCGGTATCTCGTCGTTATTCTAATTTATCCCTACAAGGAATAATAATAGATATTCATTTTCTTTCCTTGTGTGATTATTTAGTATGTACGTTTAGTTCTCAAGTATGTCGCGTTGCTTATGAATTAATGCAAACCCAATATCTAGATGCCTCTAATAGATTTGCTTCGTTAGATGATATATATTATTATGGAGGTCAAAATCCACATCCTCAAATTGTTATATTAGACCATATACCGAAAAGGGAAGGAGAAATAGAATTAAGAATTAATGATGAAATAGAAGTATATGGAAATCATTGGGATGGATATTCAAAAGGAAGAAACTTGAGAACTAGCATAACAGGATTATTTCCTAGTTTCAAAGTTAAAAATTGTATAAAATCAGTGGATTTTCCAAAATATCAAGCTTTATCTTTAATAGAAAATTAATTGAAAATTTTCCTAATAATTTTTATAAACTATATATATTTTAAAATTCATATATGCTCGTTAACATTTATTTATTTTTTAAGATATGACATTAAAAATAATGTAGATAAATTAATAAATATTTCGGATGTAAAAAGGTATTTTGCAGAATTAAAAATACATACTTTACATATTCTTGAATTGTTAAATTAACAAAGTAAAATAAATTTTGATTTGTTTAAATATTTATCGATTACAATAGCGTAATTTCTTATACAACCATTTAATGAATAATTACAATTGTTTATGTTGAGTTTAATTTTAAAAAACTTACTACGTAGGCCTTAAATTTAACATTTGCAAATATACACATTTCCATATGTAAAAATATATTAATGATTCCTAAATTGTATAGATAACTGACAATATAATGATTTATATTATTAAAACAATTTTTCAAGATTTACGTTATTTAAAAAGTGTTAATATGTCAATATTTATTTCTAATGTAAAAACTATATATATTATATGTTATACTCAGAATCGTACATAATTTCAGGTATATTGACAAAGTCCTAAAATTGTAAAATTATGCTTTACAGTGCTATAAAACAAATTAAAATCTTTTTGTAATTCAATATAAATATGTATATTGTAATTGAATTTTTTTGTGCTTAGTTAATAAAAGATCATTAGCAAATATTCCCAAATACAATATTTAAACTAAATATCGATACATTTATATATTTGCCATCTTATAATATTAGATTCAATAATGTTGGCATTTTTTTCATTTACAACAATACAAATTATTTGCTAGTTTCGTTATACTTTCTGCTATCTAAGGAGCTGTTCATACAGGATTTATTAGAAAAACAAGATTGGTTTTAGAGATAAATCTTTTTTCATTTAAAGGCAGGAAATTACGCAGCGTCTATGCTTATCTTCATTTTAGTTTCTTAAACAATAACTAATTTCTATCATAAATTCTCGCTTCGGGGATGCAATTAATCTTATTTAGATTGGCAGCTTCGAAGGAAAATTATTCACAAATAGCCTTTGGAATTCAAGTCTGGAGTCAATCAATTGCAATGGAGATGGCCAATTATTTGTAAGAATATGGTAAAATCTTAACAGCGTTGGACTGATATGCATAATGTACGAAAGCAGTTATACGTAATTATTTTCTTCTTTTAAAGTTATAATTGGAATAGATGATATATAAACTCTTATAAATTATGCATAGAAATGGAAATCAAGATACATAGAGATGATGATCAAATTGTCAAATTATCCAAACAGTTCGAAGGAAAGTACTATGGAGGAAGTTATGAAATACCCATAAAAATTTAATATAGATTTGAAAAGAAACATGCTTTGTTAGAAAACCTGATTGAATAAATTAATTAATATTGAAAGTTAACGTCAGAAATATAAATATAATACTAAGGTTAAAATTTTTTTTACTGTTATTAATATTCTATCTTTGTTTGTTATTTGTTTATAACTATTTGGAACTTGAAAGATCTTTAGTAAGTAACATAATAATTACCTTTATAATGTGGATAGTCTAAAGAAAATTGATTAAAATACTATTTAAATTTGCAGATCAAAATATTAGTCTAAAATCTCAATCTGTTTCAATATTAATAATTATTAATTTCATTGATTTACCACTAATTTTTCATAACTTCAAATAATTGTATGTAGTTATTAAAAAATAATAATTAATGAACAACATAAATGGAAAATAATATAGAATTAAAAGATAATAAAATAAATAATTGTATTGATCCTGTAGTAATAAGCAATATCTTTTTCCAGGAGAGAGGATTCCTGATACTTAAGTATTATTCATTGTTATGTATGAACAAATACAAGCAATAAACACGGTCTAAACATTGTCAATAAAAACAGGCTGCGGTAAAAGACACTTCAACTTTTTGGCAATAAAGGAATTATTAAAAAAAATTGATATTTACAATTCAATTAATACTATATTATAATTATAATTTATAATAATGTGATATATTAAAATATTTCTTAAATATTGGAATAGCATTTAAAAACTGTATATAAAATGAAATTGTACAGTCATTAACATAGAGTATAAGAAGTGCAATATAATGAAATCGAAAGAATATATTAAATGGAAATATTTAAAGATGTATCAATATATCGATATACATTTTACTAATTAACTTAATCGTTATCATGGTATTACAAAAATATCTCAATAACTAAATTAGGAAATTTTCATGCATTCAAGGAACAAATGTAATCATGATTTTACTAGTTAAGAATACAAAGTAGTAATAAATATTAATATTTTAAGTTATTTAATTGACTAAGAGAAAATTATCAATATACTGCATATAGCACATACGAATTTTGGTTGTCATAAAAATTATTTTAAAAATAAAACATTAAAATTTTTATTAAAATATCTTTGAACTATTGTACGATCTAACTTATCAAATAATTTATTTATAGATTTTAACATTTAGATCTATCACATGTAATTGTGATCAATTTTAAGTTTTATAGGGCAAAAAATAAATTACTTATCGTACAAAATTGATTTGAATTCCAATTGATGACAAAAAATGTAAACTTAAATAAAAGAGCATTGTAGTATCACAATCAAATTTTCAGTATTTAATATTTGTCTATTCATAATTTTTTATATCTACAAAAAAAATTATATAAATACTTTACAGTTTATAATGAATTATACATATATATAATTATAAGTAATGACGTAATTTACTTTTGCATACAAAATAAGCAAAGTAAAATGAAAAGGTAAATTACGTCACTAATTATAATTAAGTGTTCGTTAGATTGTAGATGAAATGTTAACAGTTAAAGCATTTCTTTCATTCCCCTACTACGATAGTATTGCATATTACATCATTGTGTGGTATAAATTATCTATTCTCTACAATTTTAAAATAAACTTATAAGTTAGATAATATAATTTTCAAATTATAATATATAATATAGTACCATTGTTTATTTACACAAGTTATAATTATAAAAAGATACTTTAAGTATTTTAAATTTATTGAAAATGATTTCGAATATTGTTTCGAAGTTCATATTTCGGCGAACGATTGTTCTCTATAGATGTGTATTAATAAATTTTTTTGTAATATTTCAAAAGTTTAAAAAATAAATTTTTGATACAAAATTTGTTTGCAGAAAATCAGAATGGAATCAAACTTTTGTTATACCAATGAATTATCTTTTATCAATAAAATGTATTCGCCTGTAATTCCAACCTATAGAGTTTTGAATAATGAGTACATACAGAAATCACCAACCGTACAAGAAATTGAAGTAAAATAATTTTAATTTAATATACATAATTGTTTACATTTATTTATTATTATAATTTTATAAATATTTATATTGTAAAAATATACTTTTAAGTATTTTCAAATTTATTTACACTTATTTTCATATACACATAAATGAAATAAATAAATTCTTATATTGAAGTAGTTCTGTACAATAATTTGTATATCGTGCAAATAAAAAATAGTATTCATATTAAGCTGTATAAATTTCAATTATATTTATGTATATATCGAATTTCAATAAAATATCAATGTATTGATTTTTGTTGATATATGTATATTTATAATTGTAATTAAATTAAATATATATATGATTTTTTTATCTATATTGTGTATCTTTTTGAATAGTATAATTTGCATATAGTTTATTTCTTTTAATTGATTATATATATTTTAATATTTATATATTAATAAAACACTAATTATTTTAATCTGTTCAAATATGTGTATATATACATACATATGTGTGTGTGGGTATACATATGCATATCTATAAAGAATAAGAGAGAGAGAGAGAATGCTGGCCCTTTTTGTGATACAAGCTCATTTTTACATATATGTAACCCCAATGATTTTTCAGTAAAAGAAAGCATTTTTAAATGTTTCATGTATTATGTAATCTTTCTTTATTTTGATCACTAATTATTTAATTATTATTACTAAGTATTCGTTATATTATTATTAACCTGTCTTTAAATTTTCTTTTAAAATATAAATTAATTATTATACATCTCCAAGTTCAGCTATTTGAATCATTTAAATTATTAATACTTTAATTTTTTATTATAAAAATATATTTAAATTCATCAACGTTGCTAATAATTTTAAATAAACTAATAGTTTTTAAATTAGAAATGGAAGCTAAGAGAAAATGTTAATAATATTTATTTATTGAAATCAGTATTTTTATTTCATGTAACTAAATGTAGAATTTATATAGAATAGAACAATACGTGACAATAGAAGATTATAGAAGACAAATGAAAACAATACAAAACAATAGACAACAATAGAACAATACGTGCTGATTAAAAAACTTTCTAAATAATGAATAATGGTATATAACAATAAATATTATTAAAATCATTTATAGTATAAATTATGAATTCCATTATAATTCGATATATATAAAGTGAAATTTTATAAATAAATATATAATTATAACATTTATTATTATTACATGTTCCACTAATAGATTCATAAGTTTTTGCATACGTATTAGATTATTCCAAAAAATTTTAATTAATATAAAAATACGATTACAAACTACTCATTTAATTCCTTATATTGGAAGTTAACGTTTAAGTTTTTACTCTACATTGATTGCAATTCATAAATTTTGTTATGGAAAAAATTTACAGAAAGAATAAATTACATTTTATTTTATTGTAAACTCAGAATTGTGCCATGGCAGAAGAACTTTTAATTTTTAAATTAATATATCAATGTTCTATGTATGTTTGAAAAGTATTAGTTTAATTAATAACTGTTTCCATATTTATCTTAGCAATTATTTTGAAATGAGTATTATTTGTATTAACTGATAATTTTTCCCAATAGGATACTTTAAATTTGTATTGGTGTCAAAGTCCTACAATTCATTTTTTTTTGCATTAAAATAATAATGACTCTTGTTCACGAATATCATCATATAATATGAGAATTAATTAATTTCTGATATTTACTACGCATTTTTATTATATTTAATGTAATGCAGTAGTTTCTTATCCGTTTCTTATCTATAATTCAGAATGCATAACACTGTCCTCTTAACTTTTATTATTATCTATGGTCAGTATTTTCTAAAGATATTACAATAATTAATCTATAACAGTGTCACAGGTTTAACTTAAATCATTGGACTTTTTGTATTCGATTATATGTTATATAAATATTATATTATAGATATTTATAAAACGAGTATTTTTTATAGCAAAGAATAACTTTTAACATAAAAATTGATGATAACAATGGTATATTTTTTCTATTTATTTATGTATTTAATATTTGCTATTAATTGTGTCTTTTCAATATTGTTTATTTCCTCAAAGAATTTACTTTTTCTTTTCATTAAACTTTATTCTATTACTTCTATTACACTGCTAAAGAAATACAATAGAATCTTTAATCGTCTATCAAATAATATCTTTTTTTTGTATATATTTTATCTATTAATATGCCTGTTTTTATTGAGAATTAGAGAATATATTCTTTTATCATATCTATTATATTAGTTTATTCATATAGCTATTAATTATATGAAAATTTATCACCTGATTAAATCGTATTATTTTATACTATGTTTTTAAAAGATTTTCTCTTGTTTCGATATTCTTTTTTGTATATAGTATTTCAACATAAAAATTAATTATCCTTAATTTGAGTTGTCACTCAATATTACAGCTTTTTGTGATTGCTTATTGGTCGTATTTAATGTTTTCATATTTTTTTGTTTTTTTTTTTATTTGCTCACAAATTTGAACTTGTATACTTTCATTACATATCTACATGTAAAAAATGTATTTTCAGTTTGTTTCCCTATTTGATATATAAGTTTAAATTCTTATAAATATAAAACTCTTGGTTATAGAAAAGTAAATATTAAAATTTATAAAATTATAAAATTATCTGTTCAAATTTAAAGACTTTGATGCACATAAAAATATTAAGAACATATAGGAATATGAGAAAAAATTTACATAAGTGTGAACAGATATCAAGATAAAAATAATAACAATATTTATTCATAAAGAATTATAAATTCTTAAATATTTATTATATCAAAATTCATAAATATTTAATAAGATACATCTTATATATACGTTTATACAACAGTTGGCCTAATTTTAATTAAAGAAAACGACTACATTATATTATATGAATGATATATTAATAATAGAAATATGATACCGGATAATTAATTCAAAATAATAATATAATAATAATACTTAATAGTACGTAAGTATTAAACCAATGTAATTAAATTAAAAAAGATCTGTTTTATTTAATATTTTTAAATTTCTACTAAAAGTAAAAAGACTTAAAAATGAAAGTTGAAATTATCAATAAATTTTGATAAAGTTGGATTAATTTATAGTTATATTCGCATTTTCAGAACCTTTACAGCTTCTAAAAAAACTCATTAAATGAATTGTTTTACATCTAGTTTAATATGAAAACTTTCAGAATTATTTCAATGACATTGATTTAATGAAAGTTTAGAATAAATTGTATGGCAAAATATATAAAATAGATTAACATTAAATACGAATAATACTTATTTACTTAATAATTATTTACATAAATATATATCTAATTTGATTTTTTATTTTTTCAAATTTTTTAAGATGGATACAAATTTGCTTGTTAAAATGTATACAACGATGATATCATTAAATATTATAGATACAATGTTATACGAATGTCAACGTCAAGGTCGAATTTCATTTTATATGACAAATTTTGGCGAGGAAGCAGTTCAAATTGGTTCAGCTGCAGCATTATTATCGGATGATATAGTTTATGCTCAGTATAGAGAAAGTGGTATGTTAATGTACTATTTATATTTTTTATTTAAATTTGTTTATAATTTTTTGTTATAATTAACAAATTATGTATAAGATGTAAATATAATTTGTTACTGATCGATATATAAAAATTATTTTAATCCAATCTTACAGCTCCTTGAATATAACACTTAACGGATTATGATTGTTATGGCGTCACTGTTGGTTTATTAGATTAATTGATGATAAAGTACTTGTATAGCTACAGTGAGTGATAATTGTAGGTTGAATGTTCGAAAAGAAAAACAGTGAGCCCGTCGTGGTGACTGAGTTAATGTTAATAGTACAGTACTCGGCGCGTCATAATGTGTTTTTAATAAATTTTTAATAAAAACACGTCATAATTCATGTTGCTATGCCGAAATTTGTCGTGACGTTAGCAGGATTTAACCTTGGAAGGTTCATCGGCATTGCTATGCGGAAATATGATCGTATATTCAAATTAACGGCATAGGAAATTTATCGAATCGCTGAATCGTGTTTACAAACATAAGCGTTCAGGAGGTTGTACTTTTCCCAATTTTAAATTCTGCTTCAACTGCTTCAATCCCGAACAAACAGAGAACATTTAAAAATTATAAAGCAGAATTAAAATTTTTTTAAATATATAACATTTAATATTTTAATATATTATACGTTTTTAAATGTTTTAAAATTTTCGAAATAATACATGTATAGTCGTAAATTTGGAAAGAGTTCTCTTTCAAGTTAACGAATAATTAGTAAGAAAATTAGGATTATTTTTTATACAGAAATTGTTTAATTTATTACATATGTATTTGTTTGAAAGTGGTGTTATTTCCTGGCTCGAACTGCCAGCGTTTCGATACCTTTAATGATTTGCCATCCGCTCTAGCAGATGCTTGGGTGGGAGTCAAGTGGAAGAGTTATAGAAATTGTGTAGTTTGTGCAAACGTCATTAAAATATAGTTTATTAACAGTTACATTTATAATAAGCATGGTTCTTATGGAAGAGTGTTAAACTTTTTAAACTCTAAACTGTTTCAATGATGAGGTTGCTCCTTGATGGTAACGATGTCGTGACCTCTGCTAGTGTTATAACGACTAGAAGAGATATTCTTACACTCTTGTGTAGGACGTGTGGCCTATAAATATATATATGAACATACCTGGAGAATATGCTTGTTATGGCAGTGTGGTTTTCTGTTAATGCAGTCAGCATCCTTGACTGCTTGTACGTGTGGCACGCTTGGCGATTAAACTTGTGTCCCCTTAAATGGATTAATTGTGTGATATAACTGAGCGACTGGTGTGTGGCTGAAAACACTAGCTGAATAACGTAATGTCGTATAACTGTTTACTGACTGATACACAATCAACCTATAAGCCTGTTGAATACGCGCATGAAAACTGAAGGCTTGATCATTCCGTGGTGGCTCTGCTGGGATGTACCGACCGTACCATAGCGACCCGTGCCATGGCTTCTTCACTTAGAGGGTTCACTGTGGTCCGATTACTGCAAGAGATTCACAGCAAGTGAGCGAGACTCGCCGCGCGCTTGCCTTACATATGCACTGGAATCTTACATGAGGCGCAGAAAAAAACTCTAGAAATTTCGAGAATTCTATGAAAAAAAGGTGTAAGAAGTTTGGAAAATTCCAAGCGATGTTATTGCTTTAAGATCATAAACATTGTAGGCCATTTGAAATCAAAACATAACAAGTACACGGAAATTTTCATCCCAAGTGTTTACAGCAACCTGATGCCGATGATGATGCCTACATACCGATAGCCGACGGTCTTGGAAATTGCTTCAATCTTGAACAGTATTATAAAAATATGTTCAAGAAAATTGTTAATAAACAAAAGTTGCTTTTTTTTAAATAACTAATGAGTTAATATACATTATATTAATATTATTAATTATGAATTTATTATACTTTATATATATATATATATATATATATACATATATATTTATATAATTGAAATACGCTTAAATATTAAATTTATTTATTAAATACTTTAACTTACTGCATTAAAATATTAAGTGCATCTTACATATAAAAAATGTAATGTGTTATTTTTAGACTTAAATAGGCTCTATATTATATATTTCTAAATCATATAACAATGTATTTAGAATTTTTAATAAAAATTGTTTTATTACAATTATGTGTATAAAACAATTCGACAAAAAATATGTTAAAGTAACTGCGTTGATTTATGTAAAAACAATATGTATTTTGTATACATATATTTTTTATGGACCATGTACTTTCGTTTATTTAAAACTATTAAACGTCGAATTTACGATCAATTTTTAAAATGAATCTTTTCATGTGCACTCTATATTAGATAAAACAAGAACAATAACTTCCGAAAATTATATTCATATCTAAAACTCTGATTATATGATAAGTAGTGCGATTAACGCTTGAACTATACCAATATAATTGCTATTCCGTAACAATTTAAAAAGACCAAGATTAATTTTGTAATAATAAAATTGACTACTTTTTGATTTAATGCAATTTCATTTAATTCTTCTTATAGATAAATTTACAGTGTAGCGTAAAAGCAATAAAAAAGTTTATTAAAATAGTTTAATCTAATACTCATTAATATACATATATATGTGTAGCATATGATATATGTAAATGCTGATGTTCTGTATATTAATCCATTCTACTATTATATTTTATTTAGCAATCAAAATGTAAATGTCGAAATTTCAAAGAAATTTTATATTTTCAATTAAAAATCTTTCTCTCCCTATCTCTGTCTAGAAATTTTGGAAGTTAAAAAGCAAAAATATAATTTCAAAAACTACTGTAATAACATTAAATATTATTAATTACCATAAATGCTATCTATACGTTTAATCATTGGGTTATCTAATCAATTAATTGTTTTATTACATTTATTATTTGATATTAGTTATATCGTAGTAAGTAATTACTAATTAAAGTATTAAACACAATTGTAGGTATATAACTTAACTCATTAGTCTTTCATTTAATTGTGATGTTCATAAAAATCCTTGATTATTTCGTGAAAATAACGGAAAATATTAGTATTAATTATCAACGGAAAGAAACTGATTTTTCTATACTATGTTAACAAAACAATTAAGGTAGAAGTTTCAATGTTGCAACGTTTTTACTTTGAATATTGAACTTAATACAAATATACTTATAAGATTAAAGGAATTGTTAAACGTAAATATTTATTTTCTTAAAATATATTAATAGAGCCAAGTATACATCATTAATTTCGAACAATATGCGAAACTCTTTTACGTAATGGTTAACATTTAATATCTTATTTCACTGTAATTTATTTCTTTATTTTACCTTATAAATCTTTTTCATAAATAATAATGTGCATAATTTTAGGTATTTTACTCTGGCGAGGTCTTAATTTTTCAGACCTTATAAATCAATGTTACGGTAATTGTAAAGATAAAAATAAAGGAAGACAAATGCCAGTGCATTATGGATCAAAAGAATATAAATTTGTTACTCTTTCATCGCCTTTAACAACACAGCTGCCACAAGGTAAAAATATTTAACATGTTTTATGTGATACATACAAAATTTTACTTTCTTTTAATATAATAAAAATATAACTGTATATTTATAAAGAATACTAATTAATAACAAATTAGTTATAAATTGAAATTAAATTTTTTCCCCAGCATTTTTCACTAAAATTTATTTTGCAATGAATCCGTTTCTATAATTTTTACAACTGAAATAAGCTTTAAGCACATTTAACATTTTAAAAATAATCACTGCAAGGAACATATACATTTTAACAACAACAACTTTGTTCTAATATATGAAAAAAATTTTTTATAAACTTATAAGATGTGTAATTTGGGCTGTGGAAAGTTCCCCGCAGACCTGGCTTCTCTACGCGGATAGCCCTTTCAAATTGACCCTTCGGCGGAGACAGCTACTTCGACTTAGCTTCTCCACAGAGACAGCACCCTCTGCTTCTTCGTCCCCACCTTTAAGGCCTCTTGTAATGAGTCCCCACTCAAGGAGCTTCTGGTCTTAGATTTCCAATCATGGCGCGCCACTTTTCGGCGGCATGATGAATGTGCACGCCTTATTTCGCACTTCCGAAGAAATTAGGCTTAGACAATGAAAATATCGAAAAGAGTATTTCTGGCGGCAGCGTCTTCATAAGGAAGGTTTGCCCCTCTCCGGGACTGGTGACATTGAAGGCATACGTGCCGGACGTCGTACGAGCAAGGTTTCGGGTTGCAATGAATTTTAGGAAATGTTGTTCATTCGATTGTTTTCAAATGTTTTAACTCTCAAAATATTCTCGCATAAACAGACTCGCCGCGTATTGTTGATAAATAACAAGGTTCGTTTATTGTATTAAAAACAATGACTACGTCTGTAGCGTGAAGAATAATAGAAGTGGCTACTTACAAGTATTTTTCAGATGAATAAAATTCGAAAGATTTTTCTCAATCTTGAACACATAGTTAAAATAATCTAAAGTGCACGATCACTGAGAGAAACGCTCTCAAATTAGCGACGCCAAAGACAGAGTTAATTGGAACACGCCGAAGACAGAGGCGCTCTCTAAGTGATTAGAGCTGATTTATTATTGGAAATTCTACATAAAAACATGCTGTCTGAGTGGGGACGCCAAGGAAGAAAGAGACTCATACTTAATGGTGACATAATAGTGATTAAGCTTTAAGTAAGACCTAAAGGTATTGATACTGTCTGGAATCAGACTGAAAACCTCCTTTAGATGTTGAGTGGAGGTGTTACTGGCAAGTGGAAGGGACAGTGCAATTATTCAAGACTACTTGTTGTTCCTTTTATTAAATATAATAATATAATAAATAATTAATAATTATGAAGTATATAAATAATGGCATGATAGATTAAATATATAAAGTTTCCTTTATATTGTTACGTGTTGATGAATGTATTTCCTTTTTGTTGTATAATGAATAAATGCTATCTTAGCATACATTAAATTGTTGATGTTTGTGTTATACGTTGGTACCGCGCCTATGTGTACGTTGGTCTTATCTGTGATATGTTTCAATAGTAGTATGCTTGATGCCGCGCCTATAATACGTCGGTCTTATCTATGAGTTGCTTCAATATGAATTTTATGTTTGCACTGTTATTTTATCTTAGCACTAATACGTTATTAATTTAATTTTAGTTTAATGAATTTTAGAATATAATGTCACTATTTCTTTCTTAGATTATTACGTATGTATACCGTTAAACTGTGGTTAATGTAGATGGTTTGATAATGTATAGTGTGTTTGTTATAATGATTGTGTAATTGTTACTAGACTGAGGCAAACTGAACTATTGCGCGTGAAGCGCAGCCCTTAAATATTATTGCACTATTCCTTAAACGCCGGTGTTTGTTGCCATGACGATATTGGTTGTGACGTCAACAGAGCAAAGCCTGGAACATTCTTTACTGATATTTTATTTAAATAACTGAATTGCACGTTCATACCTCTCCCACTTTCGACTTTCAACTTTTTAATCCGTAGCAATCTCCTTTAAATAAAAAATGCTAGACTAGCTAAGACATACTCGCGAATATGGACCGTGCATAATCATTGCTGATCCTTGCAAAATCAGCTACAACTTATCACCATGAATAAGGAGTTGACATTCATGATTGTGAACTACTCATCACTGGATAAGGTCAAGGCTACTGAATCACTGTGAGTAAACAAAGTCTATGCATAATCATTGCTAATCCTTACAAGATTAAAGGGACGCTATTATTAATACCACAAAACACTCACTATTGAGGTGTGTGCCTAATCAATTGCTGATCCTTGCAAGATCAACAACAACATTACCATCATCAAGGAACATATTGTGTAGATAAATCATTTACAACAGGATGTGTTCCAAGCAACTGTATCGAGGTTATTGAATGGTATGTAACCTTCCATCGCATAAATTCAACACAGCAATAGTGTAATTGTAAATAAACCATAATAAACCATAATTATCGAAGAAGCGCATACTGTATTTCTACAGTCGTTCCACTTTCAACTCCTTTCAAAGCATCCGCTAGGGCGGGCGGTAAATTAAAGCTATCGAAAAATTGGCAGTTTGAGCCAAGTAGTCAAACAGTTTTTAACATTTGGTCATTCGAGCCAGATTATAGTGGAAGGTAGTACATCTCACCAGTACCCTGCACACGTTCAACTTCTAAAAATGAACAGTTACATTTTCCTCACTGCATACTATGTAACACGTGGCACTACACTAAGGAGCATCCGGTGATTTACGACTTCCTACCACTCTGCAGTGAAAGCCGACAATGACATGGCAACCAAGGAAACCGTGGAAGGAAGGTACAATATGATCCCTAAAAAATCAACAACACTTACCCGTTGAACTTGGGATGAAGGTAAAAACTCAATAGTCTCGCATCTCATTAATAAAGAACCTAGCTGAAGAATATAAGTCATCACAGTGCGGCATCTCCCCGGATGAAATTTCAGTTGCAATTTCACATTTCGAAGAGCTGCACAAGGCCTTCGTTAAGGAACATACGTACTTTGAGATGATCTGCTCATATTAATCATGACTACTTTGTGAAGAATGCCTATGAAGAGGAATTCGCACAATACCCGACGACGTGAAAAACTATCAAGAATATTCGCCAGGCCTCCGAAAACAAGAGAAAAGCCTCGTCTACCAAGACACAGGCACAAGGGACTCCACTTTCAAAAAAGCTATTCCCAAGTTTTCAGGAACAGGACTGGTATGAGTTTCGCGATATCTTCAAAGCATTGATCATGGACGAGGAAATTAGCGAGGTTGAAAAACTGCATTAGCTTTGCATAGCAGTGGAATGTCCAGCAGTAATTCTTTTGTTAATCTCTGAACTCTCACTGACAAACCGATCCCTTATACCAGCTTGGGAGTGACTAACAGATCGACACAATAATAATCGGTTATTGGTCAGCTAGACGCAGCTACGTTTGAGAAACGCGACAACAGCTCCAATGAAGCAGTAAAACAATTACTTGCTTCTAAAAGCACCGAAAAAATCAAATCTTAAAAACTCGATCGTACTTCGATGGAACTATGGGAGTCATTACTTGGCTCTACCACTTTATATCCGCGTTTTGATCAATTTAAGACCATTTTATCATCTAGATAAGAATCCATAAGGATGACTGGGATCTTCATAGAATCTTGTGAATAGACGAACAACAGGTAGAATTGCCATACCATTTGATAACAGTCATCTACGAAACAAAGGCTGCCCCATTTCAAGCAGTCAGAACATTGCTTCAACTAGTAGAGGACGAGGGAAGCAGGTTCCCTCTTTCCGTACCTTCCATCATTCATGGGAGATATGTCGACAACATTTTTGCAGACACACAGAATAACTAATTGAAGTCGCACTCCAATTACAAATTCTCTGAATGGCGGGCGGTTTCCCGTTGACAAAATGTTATGCAATACATCAAGATGTTATCACTGCAATCAACGCGGATCGAAATGCCACCCCAATCAAGTGCGACGATTGTCCCACAAAAAAACTTGGTTTAATATCGTCACTGCAGCAAAGCAGATTCACATTCACGACAGGGAAAGGTTCAGTGGAAATTAATAACCTTACGAAACGCATTATGAAGTAGCTCAGATATTTGATCTATTGGGCTTTGTTTCATCCGTCGTAATAAAGCCCAAGATATTCATGCAGGAGCTGTAGTTACATAAGTTCAAGTAGGACGAGAAGTTGCCATCGCAGATCTGATCACAATTTGTAATCACCAGAATGGATCTCGCCAACTTAATCGATATACCACGATGGCTCAATATAGAAACGACCTCATTCCCAATTAGCCATGTGAACAGTCATATACATCGTCGTCCACTACGCACAAAACATTATGACTCCATTGGTATGCTCAAAAACTAAGGTGGCATAGCTTAAACAAAGGACTAGATCAAGATTGAAGCTATCTGCAGTACTACTCCTTTTGAATCTAATACATTAACTAATGCATTACTAATGATTACGATAAAATAAACATAATCTTGTTATATATATATATATTATATATATATATATATATATATATATATTATATTGTAGATGGTCAACATTTAATTTATAATATTATACATACTTAAAACTAAATATAACTATTCAATAATAAGCATAATATCAGTTGATATATTATAATAAAGTATATATGATATAACTACAAGTATACGAAGAAAAAAAAACATGTTGCGAAAGACATATTTCCTAAACTAAGATTCTAGATATAACTCATCTTGTTACAACATAAATCTACTTTAAGTTTAGTATTAAATATTTCAACTCTTTTTAATCTAATATCTTACTATATTTACATACGTATGATTTTTTATGTACAGAAAACTAATCATGTGAATATTAACTATTTGATGTCCATAACCATATACACACACATAAAAGCAATAATGATAAAATATTAAATATTTCTTATTTTCTGTACATATAATATTTTGTACGTCTGTATATGCATGCATTTGCGCGAATCTGAATAAGAAAAGCTAAATTAAATAATTATTTAAATAAGAATATCAATTATAGCTAGAATAATTGATAACTTTCAGCTGTTGGTGCTGCTTATGGATTAAAACAAATGCAGAAAAACTTATGTATAGTGTGTTATTTCGGAGAAGGTGCAGCAAGTGAAGGAGATGCTCATGCAGCATTAAATTTTGCAGCTACATTAATATGTCCAGTAATATTTATTTGGTAAACAAAGCAAATAATATTTAAATAACAGAAATTAATAATTAATAAAAATACAGTAATGAAAATGTTATTGAAATATAATCGAATACACTAATAAATATATAGAATTATGTAATTATTTAAAATTTTTTAATAATGTACACTGAATAAAATAATTAACATTTCAAAAATTAGGAAGTTCAAACCGTGACCTTTTCTTTTTATTTATAAAGTAATAATTATTAACGACCATATTAATAAATTGAGTATAATCATTATTAGCATCTTTAATAAGTATCAAATTTTTTAAAATCAAGTGATATTTCAAAATCATAATCTATATTTTGTATAAATTATTAAAAATTAATGTTTTATATGACAATAAATAAACAAAATAGAACTTTTCTTACTTTAATATACACTGTATTAAAGTTTTGATTAATCCAAAAAAAGTATTGAAAATATTAATCACATGTAAATAATCTCATTAATGTCTTTATTGCATTAAGTTCTTTCAAACTGAAAAGTAGTAAAACTACTTAGAATAGATACAAAATCAACCTTAAAATTCATAATATAAAACATTTAAATATGTACAAACACATTTTTAGAAAAAATTAATCAATTTACATAATAATTTCCTTTTATAAAATAAAAAAATATATAAAAAAAAAATTATCTTTATTTTAAAAAATATATAATCGCATGTAAATTTATTTTATATTTTTTCAAGTCGTAATAATCAATATGCCATTTCAACTCCAATTCAACAACAGTATGGTGGTGATGGAATAGCAGCAAGAGGCCCAGCTTATGGAATTAATACGATTCGAGTAGATGGCAATGATATCATTGCTATGTATAATGCTACTAAATTTGCGCGAGAGTATACGATTCAAGAAAAAAAACCTGTACTGATAGAAGCAATGACATATCGGTATGATTTTTAATTTTATTGTTATTGTTTGGAATCAGACTAAAAACCTCCCTTTGATGGTGGGTGGAAGTGTTGCTGGCAAGTGGAAGGGGCAATGCAATTATTCAAGACAACATGCAGTGTTTCTTGTCTTTCCTTTATTAAATACAATAATATAATAAATAGGTAATGATCATAAAGTATATGAATGAATAGGTGAGTGATTAATTTGTGGAAGTTTCTTCAATTGGTTTACGTGCTGAGGAGTGTGTGTACTCTCAGTGATGTGAGGAGTGACTCCTCTGCCGAAAAGTGCCGTTATAGTGGTATGCGTGAGAGCCGCCGCTGTCGTACCGAAGCTTTCTAAAGGAGGCCGGTTTGTTGCTGCCTTAGTCGTCGGTGTGATCCGTTAATATATGTAGTATGATTTCGATTATTTCACTCTCGATTATGTTAGTATTAGGGCTTTATTAGTTTAAGTGTGGCATCACTATTGGATTGTTAGTTTGCTTACTGTTTCATTATTACGTACGTGCATCGCTACAGTGAGTGATGACTGTAGAGAGAAGTTTGAAGATTGAATAGTAAGCCCGTCATGATAACTGCGTAATTGTTACTAGACTGGACTGAGCGCTGCGCTTGAAGCGCAATCCTTAAATATTCTCGTGGTAGTTTGCAACGCCGATAGCGATCCGGTGTATGTTGCTATGTTTATATTTGTCGTGACGTCAATAGGGCATAGCCTTGGAAGGTTTATTGGCATTAGTTTTCAGAATTACAACCGTATATTCGAGTTTTCAGCGTAGAAACATTTCTCGAAATCGATGGCTTGTGTTTATAAACAAACTGTCCGGGAGCTCATGCCTCTCCCACTTTTGTATTCCGCTTTCAACTGTTTCAATCCGTAACAATTATATTATTTATAATTTAGAATACTGGTAAAATTTATGAAAGTTTTGAAAGTTATTTAAAAAATGTACACAAATAAAAGATTAATTTTTATTTTAAATATTTTAAATAGAAAATAGTTTGACAAATTAGTAGCTCTTCACAATGCTCTAATTGTGTATTAATTTTTATTGTCAAACAATCCTATCTTATTTGGATGATTGTATAAAATTTTTAATAATTCGTCGATTGATAGTATAATTTCATCAAAAATACAAAAATGTATTATAAATATACATATTAAATATTTCACTTAATTTTATGAGTTAAAAAAGTAACAGGAATAAAACAATTTTAAATTAATTATAATACAGAATGCAAAAATGTTAAATATTAACTAAATATAAATATCTGTGGTTCTATCTCATACCTTGAAATTAATACTAAATTATTATAATAATTAATCTTCTAAGAAATATTCTAAGCTCTAAAATAATGAAAAATATAATTTAGATTTTGTTTGAACTACAATCGTTATCTAAATAATCCATACATTATTTTATCAGTAAACGAAAATTTTAAAATATGTAATAACAAATACATAAAATATATAAAGATGATATGCTAAGTTACTAATAAAAAACTATATTTGAATAATAATAAAGAAATCATTGACAGAATGCCATTCTTGAAAAATAAAAAAACCAGTCTAGTTAATGTATTCTAAGTTATCGGTATAAAATTCAACTGTAGTGTAATTAATATCTTAATCAAAATAAATAAAAAATAAAAAGCTAATATAGAAATATAGGGTGCATATAGGACTTTATAAAGTAGATTCCAAGCAAAAGCAAAATAGAATATTTCAATAAGTGAATTGGACATAATAAGTACTAAAAGTACAAAATCTCCAGGATCATACAAAGTTCAAATTTTATATGGTTGTAGTTTATAAATTTAGGAATTTGAACAGATTGCTTGTTTGATACCTTTTTTTAACGAAACAATTAAATTTGAAATATAAACAATGTTTTTCTGGTATAATATAATAATTTTTCATTTTGTGGTAAAATGTCCATGAAAAATTCAGTATAAGAATTCAAAAAAATATATAAATCATTTTCTTAGATTATATAATTATTAATATTATATAATCCCGATGATAATTCAACTTTGTCATATTTTGAAGTATGAAGTACTTACGCAAGGTATTGCGATAACAAATTACATCACAAGATTCGTTGGTATGTAATAGCAATATGTGTTGTTCTCTCGATAATAGCGCATTTTATACATCAAGATTAAATTATTTTCTAAACCCAGAAATTTTCATTGTTATTTACTATATACAAATTATTTTTGATAAAACTAGCATTTCAGGAACTAAACAAACAATCTGTAATAGTACAATAAATTAAAATGGTTATAAATATTATAAAATATTGCTTAGTTGTAGTAAGTCTTTTGTTATTTATTATTAAACCTTTCGATTCCAATATTTACATGAATATTTACTTCTATAGACACTACCTGTGTTTGTACTGCTTAATTTGTTCATACAAATGATAGCATAGCAAGTTTACCTAAATTTGCATTTTTTCCTTCATATTTCTCTAAATTAATTAAACTATAGTTTTGATGTAATAATTGAGATGAAATAGTTATGAAAACATTATGATCAGTATGTATTCTCGTAGACTTATTAATTATTTTTATATTATTATTTTAATTAATTTCATTTGTTTGCGACAAATTAAAAATTGAAATATGATGTAACTTCATAAGTTATCCAATCTAGTTTTCATATTTTCCGAGTAGATGTGTATCCTGTAGAAGGGAATGAATATTTAATCCATGTTATTTTCACTATGTAGATTTCTGTTTTTTGTTTCTGATCAGACTTTCCATGTAGTGAATTTTTGTTTTATTTTAAAAACAATTACATACAATATTAATTACTTATATTTCTAATAAAATAATAATAGTAGCACATATGATAGTGAAGTGTTCCAATAACTCAATAATTTAGTGTATAATTCTATTATGTATTTATTATGCACCGAATAACCAAAATATTTTTTAAAGCAAATTAATTATTAGGAAGTTGAATTAAATTACAAAAAATCCAAACTTCGTTTATTATTATGATTATTATTTTTTTAATGCATTTTAGTAAAACCACCATATTGCGGAAAATAGTTGTTTCTTCTTATTATTAAGAAAATTAATGCATTTATCAAATATATTTTTAATCAAAATCTCATCCTTGTTTATTTCTTAAGAAATCTTAATAATTAGGGAATCTATTAATAATATTATACTGCAATAAGAAAATACGTTAAGTACTATAATAACCAATACTTAAAAGTTTATTGTATACATCTTTATTAAATATACAACTATATTATATTGTTAGTAAAACATTCTAATAAATTTTCATTAAAAATTATATTTAGTATTGGACATCATAGTACATCTGATAATAGTACAATGTACAGATCTAATCAAGAAATTAATTCACATAAAAATAAAATACCAATTGTACTATTTAAAAAATATTTAGAACAGTTTAATCTATGGGATATGAACAAAGAAGAAAATTTTATTAATTTCAATAAAAAAACCGTTTTAGAGGCAATTACTATAGCAGAAAAACATAAAATACCATCGTGGGAAGATCTATTCACAGATGTATATTATAAAATGCCTAATCATATTAGGTAAGTTATTTTACATTCGGAAATATAATTTAAATTTGAGGGATTTAAAAATCATAATTAATAAAGTAAATGTATGTTTCAATAATAAATGTTTTATTATAACTTAAAATCTTCCAAACGTGGAATAATTAAAAGATAATTATGTTGAAAAATTAGTTGAATGACTAAAACTACATTAATTTATAGTAATTACTTTATTAATTATATTAAATATATAGTTAAAAAATGTGATTTGAGTGAAAAAGTGAGATAAGTATAATTGATTACAATGAATATTTATTTTATTCAAATTAAATATAAGCTTATAATTATTTATTTTTATTTATTATACTTATATATATATTTTATATAATTATATTGTATTATATATTATATATTATTATATATTATATTTATTATACCAAATTAAATATAATACATAAACGTTTTAATCTATTCTTAAAACTCTTACAACTTTTTTTTTCTTGTTACTAATATATACAGTCAATCTAAAAATATAGTTATTTGCTGTCAGTGTTTCATTGTATTATTGAGTTCAATAATTCTTTACATACGTATGTACCTATAAGATAAGGAAAAAATTATGCATTTTGCTAACACAAACTTCAAATTTATGATTTAAAAGAATAAACTAGAAACGAACATTCGAGCCGAGTTACCTTATAATGTAGGGCAATTATATATTGTTAATAGAGTATTGTTTAAATGTTAGTGAATTGTTCTGAAAAAGATACAAAGAGCCAGAGAGAGAGAGAGAGAGAGAGAGAGAGTGAGAGAGAGAGAGGAATATAGAAAATAGTAGCTTAAAGGCTAAAGGAACTAAAGTGAGAACCACTAAGAGTAATACTAACAAAAAAGAATATGTTTAATATTTTTATTATAAAGGATGTACCAATTAACTGAATATATGTAAAAAAGTGAGATAAGTATAATTGATTACAATGAATATTTATTTTAACATAATAAATGCTACATTAATAAATTGATTTTGGATAAGTTAATAAACTTATCCAAAAAATTCTTCATTTATAATTCTCGGACAAACAATTATAATTCAGGATATCTTAGCATTTGCTATAGGCCTGTGTTTTGAATTCCAGTCATCCAGTGGTCGAAGAGACAGGATGGTTGGTTTAGACTATGACCACCAGTTGCCTGGTGGGGCAAGGAAGTGCGGACAAGTGGAAGGAATATCGCATTTATTCAATAATTACATACATTTGCTTTTCGTGCTATTTATTGCCATTTATTTTACAAACTACACAATAATAATGATTCTAAGATAGTGTTGAGAATCGGTGAGATCTTGCAGTTCAGTGGCAGATGCCACATGGCATTAACATGCACTACAAATAGAGGTAGGGGGTCGTAAATCTCCGGAACCTCTTGACATAGTATGATTGGTGGTAAATTATTATGCTGAAAAGTAAGAGGTTGTAAATCTCTGGCACTTCGTGTAATGCCACGTGGCGGTAACGTATTGAATTCTCCTCATTGGAGAGACTGTGTTGGCTGCACTTGGTGTCTTATAACCCATTAGAAGATCATTATTGGCCTTTCCTGGTTGCACGCTGTGTCTTATTGTCTGTGTGCTAATTGCACATTAGTCAGAGGGCCTTGTTGGCTTAGTATTGGTACTCACAGAGATGCGGTTGTCTTGCCAGATCCTGTGAATGAGTGCCTAGGAATTGCGCTTCTTGTAGTCGTGTTTGTTCTTGTAATGTAGTCAACACGTTTGACTGCTTTAAATTATTGCGCACTTGATAATTAAACTTTTATTGAATATAATGGCTTCATTGAGTAACTATCTCACATCTATAAATTCTGACTGAATGATATAAGTAAAATGAGTGTAACTGAGTGACTGGTGTATGGCAGAAAACACTGGCTGAATAGAGTAATTGAATAACATAATGACTGATAACTGATTGACTGAATAATTTACAATGATCCTACAAGCCTGTTGAATACGCACATGAAAACTGAAGGCTTATTTTTACCGTGGCGGCTGAGCTGAGAAATACTGACTATTTCATGGCGGTCCTGCTAAGACAGATCGTGATCCGTGCCATGGCTTCTTCACTGAGAGAGCGTGTGGCTCGTCGCGTGCTTCCTGTAAATATCCATGCGGCAGCTTACTTAGATGGTAACCATGCTTAGGTGTTGCTATGCCGAAAGTCTTGATAACGTCAGAGATTAAAGCTCTAGAACTTTCGAGAATTCCAGAATGACAAAGCTTTAGAACGTTCGAGAATTTCCAATCGACGTTGCTATGTGGAAATATTGTAGGATACTCCAAAACAAGGCGTAGAATATTCGAGAATTCGCAGAATCAATGTTTACAAACACAAGAGTTAAAAGGCTTATACTTCTCTTTTAAACTTTTAAACTTTTCTCTTTTTACTAGCTTATACTACTATTTTTGAATTCTTCGAAAATACTCCAATTCTGAACAACCGATTTTTTATTTGACTTAGCACAATATAAATTTATTAGTATGAAACTTAAAACTACTATACTTTGAAGGAAAAAATTTATCATCTAAACTAAATATAAATATAACTAAATATCATGACTACAATAATCTAATTATAGATAAATTATTTTTTCTACATTTAAAGTTTACAGCTAGGAAATTTCTAATATATTATTTTTTTCAATATAGTCACCACAACATTTATGAGACAATGAACGATGAAACTCATAATTTCTTCGAAGAAAAGAAAAATATGATTGTAACGCATCTTAAATATATTTATTAGTATGTTCTAATGTAATTATTACATATAATATCTACGCAAAATAGTAGCCATTTTTAATTATTAATAATTATAAAGGTTTGTGTACATTATGAATAATGTGCACAGTGTATATAGTCATGAATTCATTGCGAGATAAATTTAAATCTAAAAATTTAAATTAAAAAAATTAATTATTTAATTAGTTGTATATTAATACTTTATAACGCAATATTTTTAAAAATAATTGTATAGACTTATGTTTTATATAATCGTAATTTTCGTAGTTATTTATTATGTACGCTTCTTTGTTAACCTAAGTTTTTTTATATAAATCAAATTTCTTTTTGCGTTTATTTATATGAAATACATGTTATTTTTCAATTGCTCACAGCCTAGCTAGTACTTATTTAAATTTACTTACGCATAAAACACAAATATATAAATATTATGGCTTAACACATCATACAATTGGAAATTTAAATTAATTGCAGATTAACTTTTAAAGTATAAAAATATGTAATAGCAATAAGGATAAATATTTTTTGTAAAATTTCAGATTTATCTTTGTAGCGCGTAAATTTGTGAAGGTCCCGAAAGAGTTATAAAAAATCATAAAGCCAAATGACTATCCTATTTATTTAATAATTTGTAAACTCTATTGTTTACATTTGTAAAATAACATTTTTTTTTATTGTTATTGAAATATATATATTTCAAATCACGACATTATAATTAATTTATTATCGTACGAAATAAAAAATATTTATATGAAATATATATATGTAAATATATTTTATATAATTTATTTACATTATCCTATTTAACATATTTGTGTTTCAGGAAACAAATGAATAGTATGAATAGACATATTAATAAATATCCAAAAATATATTCAACTTAATGTTATTAAGTAATTGAAAGTATTAATAAGAATAATACTAATTAAGATATTGAAGTGAATAATTATACAATTATAATATAATTATTGTATAATAAATCAAGTCGTGCATTGTCTAAGGCAAAATTATGAAGTTTACAAGGCAACCATAATTATGGCATCATAATTAATCATTCTAAATTTATTCGATAAACAACACATTGTTTCAATACATATTTTATTCTGATTTCATCTATTCATTCAAAACATTTGTTTATATGTATAGGTTTCACTGTCATAAGAACCTGTTATAGAAATCTTAATAAATATTGTAATTCAATAGTTAAACTTGCTTATAAATATTCTTTATTTATATTAAAATTTTAAAATAATGTGAAAATTCATAGTTTCATCTTTCAACTTCTTTATATTTTCCAATAGCTAATAATACAGAGGTATTTTCTTACAAATTTATATTTATACCAGTTTTGTATTATGAATTTTATTTTTCTACTATCAACCTGGATAAAAATTAAAATTGATAATATGAAAAATTTTATCTCAATATTAATTTAAAAATTGTATAAAAAGACATTAGCAAAATTATTACAATATTAGAATTTTAAACTTATAGAAAGGATGACCTAACATGTAAGACAATGTTTAATCTTTGTATATATATTTAAGTAAAATGTATTTAAAAATATATAAGTTATAAATATTTATTCTAAATTCAATTATGTGCAATGAAGTTTTTATATTTTATATACCCATTTATTTCTATACTCATAATATTATATATCTAATTTGCAACTAATCATAACATACAATTAAACATGCAGTTATAGGAAAACATTTTACTGTAAGTTTGTAGTTATGAATAATTCTATAAATCTGATAAGGAATTGCAAAAAATAATATCTGCATTCGTATTGTATTATTGGATATTGTACCTTGGCATAAAAAAATAATGATGAATTTTCCTTGTACTTGAAAGAAATTGGTAAATTATCAATACAATATCCAAAAAATTATTGGTATGATAAAATTCATAACAAAATTGGTAATACTTAAAGAGAAGGATTATTATTATTATTATGATTATTATTAATAATTAACTAAATTAATTATATTTGCTTAATTGCTAATTTTCAATATTCAATATTAATTATTTTATAAATTGAAGAATTAATAACGAATAATATATTATATTGACTTAAAATCTACAATTCTAAATGTTTTTTAAAATTTATAATATTTATTATCTATTTATTCTTAATTTTTATTTGTATTTATTGTAGTTATTTTATTTTAGCTAAATAGACAATATTTCAATGGTTATTGCTAGGTAATTTAAGTTAATTTTTTTTTATAAAAGAAATATTGTCATTCTAATTTAAACAAAATATAATCTGTATATTTAAATATAGTTTAAAATATAATATTTAAACTTCATTTCTTGTACATCAATAAAAATAATAAAATTTTATAACAAGAATATGTTTCTTTTAACTTACTCAAATTCAAGTTGTTGAACAAAAATTTCAAGGCTATAACTATAGTACTGAGTTTAATTATAATTTATTATCTTAAGATAAATATTGTCATTTAATTTTATTTGTCTTAGCAAGTATTTTTCCTTTACTCAATTTTTTTAAGCTCTTCAACAAATACAAGTCTGTATCACGATTGATCATTCTAGAATTAAATAAAGTTGTGAGCAATATATATATATATAACTAATATTAACAATATATATATATATATATATATATATATAATGATATATTGTTAATATTAGTTATTATATATAATATATAACAATTAGTAATAACAGCATTAAATAGTCTGATAAAAATTTATTTAATTATAAATAAATATATCAGAATAAAAAATTATTTACATATGAATGAAACCATTAAATTTATTCAAGAATGAAATTTATAGATTATTTTAATCCAGTAATATATAAAAAAATATCTTTTGAAAATATTGTTGTAAAGAGTAAAATTTTTAAATATATAATGTTATAAGTAAAATATTTTTTTGATTATAGATAAAAATATATTGAAGAATGTACATGTATATGTATAGATATATATTAGTAATAAATATTCTTTGTAAATAAAACTACTTAAAAATTGCATCTCAAGTCATACTTGAGTTACAATTTACATATTAAAAATATAAATATTAAAAAATTTTATTTTTATAACTGTTAACAAATAAATATTTTATATTTTAATGATTTCGTTAAGTAAAATGGCAGATTTCTTTTCTTATACTTTCACTATTAGCATTTGTTGGCACACCTTACAAAGAATTGTGTGATAATTGGCATTCAATTACAAATTCCTAGAATCTCAAAACTATACTGCACATGCGTCAAAACAAATTGAGTTTTATAGAAATACTCGTTAACTAAATAGGAATTTATTTAAAATGAATCAAGCTAAAATTGCAAATTTGGTTTGCCAGTTAAGATATAATGTACTACCAAAACCTCGAAAATTGAAAAACGTTAAAGGACCAGAAGGAAGAAGTATAAAATTACAAAAGACATTAACTAAATTGTTAAAATATGAGAGAATAGAGTTAAATTTAAATCGAGCCGATGAGACGAGAGGTTACGTGGAACAGGTAAGTTATCAAAATATATAATGATCATATTTTTAAAAATGAATGTTAAACTATTTGGGTATTTATATAATAATATAAGTATAGTTATTTACTAATCATAATAATAATAAGTTCTGAAATAGAGTGTTACAATTAAAAATTAATTTTAAAAGTTATTTCAATATTATTTTACTTTCTTGATTGAAAAAGTTGTCAAATACTGATTCTTTACTATTTACTCATATATTTTTAACAATTCTAAGTTTTTATATTTTAACTTTTTATTATAGAATGTTTTGTATTTTAATATTTTCTATATTATAAATTTTAATACTTTTAATAATGATCTTTCTAAATATTTTGAAAGATTACGTATTTTATATATAATGATAAAAAAAATTCTTTATATAATATTACCATAGTTATTAATATAAAAACTTTTTGTCTAAATTAAAATATATAAAATAATAAATTTTATTATATATATAAATATTATTGCATATTAATTAATCATCAACTATAATTTATAATCATAAGTTATTAATTTAAATTAAATATATCTCTTCAAAATATTTTGAAAAAATTTAAATGATAAAAGCATAGCTTTTAATAAATATAAATATATACTTTCAAGAATAAATATTATCATAAAACAAAAATTATAAATTGATTAATTATTCATATTACAAATAGAGATAACCTATTTATAATCTTGAAGATATTACTCATAGTAAGAATATTTATAGTGGTATGTATAATTAATTTTCTTATATATATATATATATATATATATAAGCTATGTATACTATGTTTATATATATATACGATATGTATATAATGATTTTTTAAGCGTCAAATTTTTATATTAGTATATAACAAATAACTTAATAAAGTATAAAAGAAAATTGTATAAAAAAAATTTAATTATTTATGAATAAATTATTGTTAAGCCCGAGTACAATGTAAAAGAATCTAAAATCTTATTGGATCTTTAAATTGTATTAACAACTATATTTGTAAATGCTACTTGAAAATAAAAAGTAAAATCAACAGTATTGCATTAAAAAAGGTACTATTACAGATCTTAAAAATATACATAAGTAGGAAACAAGAAATATTATAGTAAAAAATTGAAGCTAGGATATAAGTAAGGCTGAGGTGATGTCTGTTAAATATTATGACACTAGTAACAATAATAATAATAATATTAATATATTATAAATTCAATTTCATCCATATTATTTCAAAACATATGATAACACCTAGTTAACATATATATTAAAAGGGTTCATTGTTAATAGGAAATTCTTTTTATTTACTTACCTTAAACGAAGAAGGTAATATATTGTTTATGCAACAATAAATGAGAGAATAATGCAAAATATGAAAAGGGTATTTACTCTCTATAAGTAAATATATATATAATGAATCATTTTTGCCATACAAACTTAAAAGTAAATGCTTGAAATTAGGAGTTCTATTAAAACAATATAACCAGTTATACAACAGTTAAAAATAATAATTCTTTATAATAAAATCATTGCAATAATCAGATATTAAAATGATTTCTAGACTTTTAAAAATGTTAAAAGTAGTATATTACAATGGCTTTACAGGTCATAATAATAGTCTTTATATTAAATATCAAATACACTGATGTTGCATATATTTATTTTTTTTACACCTATATTATCAAAGTGGGAATACCTTTTAATTACTATTTTATTATTAACAATAAGACTTTGTTGTGCATCCACTTGCAAAAGATACATTTTAAATTACGCATCCAAAAGCAGACATAATTAATTCAAATTTAAAAATATCCAAGAATAGAAAAAATACCAGAAACAATTGAAAAAAGAATACTACAGCATAATAAAAAAATGTAAATTAGAAATCATAATAAAGGTCAAATTGGTCTTTGAGCAAATGATTTTATCTTCACTACTGAAATAATACAATAAATATTATATAACATCATTAGTATAAGTATACTACTACTATCTAATAATAAATTCAACAACAATTTTCTAATGAAAGGAAACGGTACTGCAAACAACGATTCATACATTATCAGTTGTAAACAATATAATATTTACTGTATATATACTGTACAGAGATTAAAACTAGTACAAAGAAAAATAAGGTCTCTAATAAAGTAATAATGGGATTTTCTTAAATATATGTTTAAAGTATTTTATAAAATTAATACCCTTTAAATAGTGATCACAGATAAATTGAAGATAATAAATAAATATAAATTTAAAATAGAACATGACAAAAGTGGAAAAATATTCAACTTCAGCAGTTTATAACTATAACAAAAATTCATAATAAACTCATAATCATAAACCATTTCGTAAAGGTTATAATGGATTTTAATAAACTGGTATGATAGGAAAATAAAGGTCACGCATAAATGCTAATTATGAAAACTAGTTAATGAATTCAGTACAGGATATGTATTTTTAAAACTACCGACGTATGTATAAGAATGTTTAACATTGTAAAATCATATTTACTATTGAAAAAGTAAATTGTATTATAATTTTTTTAACAAAGATGTGGCATATCTAATTATTGATAATTGTTCGAGAATGTAAGAAAACTCCCAGCTCATTAGACATTTGGGAAATTCGAGATAAGAGTTCCAAAAAAAGCGAACTCTCAACTACTCGAGGAATAAACATTCAAACGCGTCTCGGATTAACTAAATCTAAACAATTCAGCAAAACTTTGAATATCAAAAGAAAATACAATTGAATATAAATATAAATATAAATATAAATATAAATAAAAATACAACTTAAACACATCTGGCGAGATTAAAGATCCAAGTGTCCAGCAAAAACACGTCATAAAACTAATGCTATGAGACATTTTACACGGCCTCGCCACAAAGCATCTATCGACGACAAGTCATAATGCTTCTGGCATAATCGAGTCATAAAAATATAAGCAAAAACCACCTCGTCTTACATCCAAAAAAGGGATATTAAGGGCAACACTGCACGCATACGCTGTTGTCAAACCCAGCTACGTGTGGCTCGGATAGTGAAGCGAGAACGTGCTAAAGGATTCCCCCTTATGGTGGGGATGCAAGTAAGAAGCGCTGTGATTGGAGCTGCCAATAATGAAAGAATTAATTCGATTGGAGACGCCCATAAAGAGGCGCTCTGATTGGAAACGCCAAAAGGCAGGAAATTCATAAGGACCACGCGGTAGCTAAGAATGCCTAAAAAAGAAAGACTTACAAGGCGCACCTGAGTCTCTTCTCATGAGAGCTTCTTCTCGAAAAGAACGCCAAATAACAAGGATGTAGACATACACAGTAAAAGCCGATTAAGAGGCAAAGCCTAGTCATACCCAACTCATAACAAGTGCAAGATAAGTGCAGATCGAATCATACACTTGCAGCAGTGTAAGGCAAGGAAAAGGGAACAAAAAAAACAGTGGTCCACAAGGTACAACATAATCATACCTATAAGGAGCCGCTCGAGGCAAATTCAGCAACCAATACGAGGTATAGCCAGAAAAACACAAAACATAAACTTCAAGCTGCCGTACGAGGCGCAACCTGCAGACATCACTAGCTGCCATCAAGAGCACAAGATCTGCAGAACTCACAAGGTAAAAGTTCCATTCCTTAATAATGATAATAATACACAATATGCCTCACAAGGTAAGGAACTATAGAGCGACCAAACTCACACAATCTGCAAACGCATAAGGGGCAAGTTTAGTTGCCACAAGATAGACTTACGAGGCGCTGTACGCGGTAATATCTGCAGACTAATATGAAGTGCCACCAAAATCGCACCTGCAGAGCCTTCAACGTAAGCAATAAGACAATACCAAGGCAAATTCAAGCTACTGCCACCTGCCACTACACAAGAAAGCACGGGGGCTTACGACCTTGTTCTTCTACGTGTGCAACAACACCACCACGTGCATTATATATAGAGGACCAGAAGGTTACGCCCTTCTACCTGTACATGCGACGTACGTGATAACTCAGTGACAATAAAACATACAAATCAAGAAAAGCAAGCACTCAATCATAAAAATAAAACTAATTATAATTCAACTAGTGCAATTATATAAATAAAACAAAACTAAATAACAAAACTACTCTTTATTGAATACATGTACTATCTTGTTCACTAGCCTAATACAACTAATGCAACTATCGCAATAAACTTAAAAAAATACAAATGCTATTTATTATTGAATACATGCACTATCCTGTCCACTTGCCCGCAATCCTCCCTTCCACCAGCTGGGAGTTTACACCTAACTTTAGATATTTGGCCCTCTTAGCCCGGTACTCTATTTTTATACAATAATAATAAATATACGGAAAAAAGAAAATTGAATAATAAAGCAATCTTCGTATTAAAAACACGATTATGTAGAAATTTTTTTATAAGAAAATAGTCTTAATGAATTATGTTAATAACTCCACGTTTAAAAAATTGTTAAAATTAAAAAATTAATAAAATAAAAGAATATAAGTGAAAGATTAGCATACTTTTAAGCACTACTAATACAAGAATATTAAGAAAATTTGGTGAAAATGATATAATAATTTAAAATTGTATACAGCAATATAAAATGTAATGCAAAAATGATATAATAAAAATTTATAATGTCTATTATAAATTATATATTAGTATATAATGGAAATTTTAATTAATAAGCAAATCCGCAGTCAGTAGAGAGAAGCTTGATGGAATATACAATATAATTATTTTTAAAAAAAAATTAAAAAAAAAATCTTACTATATGTTAATTCCCAATAACTTTTGTTATAAAAAAATAAAATATTTTAAATTTGTTTTTATATTCTAGCTTATATCTCAGGCAATTCGAAATGGCTGTCAGAATAAAACAGTTATGGAATTGGCTAATTTTTGGATATTAGAAAAACAACTTATATATAAATTGTTCAATGTTTTTGTACCTAGGTATAAGAGTTATTGTACATCTTTTACTAGAATATACAATTGCCCAAGGGATTATCCAGGAAGTTATAGGAAAAAAGTAGTATTAGAATTAAAAGGTAAAATCTGAAATTTAATTTAATATTGTTTTTCAAACATTTAAATCTGTTTAGTCTTATGTGTGAGATTGTTTTAACATGTCTATATATAAGATAAAGTTATACTTTTTTTAAGATGTCAAGGTAAAATAAAAAGTATTTTTGATTGTATTAAAATTTATAAATCTTTTTCACACTTTACCTTAAAATTGACTGTTAACATTTTCTAAAGAAAATATGTTTTCTATATTTTATGTGATATCTCAGTTTATTTTCGTATTACAGTCAACATAGTTGAAAAAAGTATTTTAGAATGTTTTTAATAATCCATTAGAATATAATTTTATTTTCTTGCCTATCCAAATTATTTTTCTCAATATCAATAACATGGTTCATAATCAGGATAAAACAGCAATGATATTTAATTATGCCTTAGTATAATTATTCAAAAATATTAATATGAAAAAATAAATAAAATAAAATTTTATTAAGCTACTTTGATCATTGTTAAAGTTCTGACAAAAAAAAAGAAAAATTGTAATCTTGAAATGTATATATTTAGTGGTTAGATGTTCTTTTATTTAGCACTTAGCTAAAATTACTATTGTCATTAAAATGAAGGATTTATTGTAACACCGTTATATGTTATATAAACAATTTTATTTGTTTAAAAATTTGATATTTACTGAAAATACTTTTATTAGTACCATTATAATTTTTGAAAACTTATCCAAAATTGATTATAGTATCTAGTTTTAAAATGTGACGATGCTTTGTAGTTTTTAGTATTCGTTTTAATCTATCGGAAAATTGTTTTCTTTTCTTTTTGAAACTAATAGAAAAGCAAATCGAGATTTTGATTGAAATACTATTTACATTTAAAATTTATTCAAAATAATTATCTTAATTTTAATATATATTTGAGATAAATGAACATATAACTATTATTGAAGAATAAATTGTAATATTAAAGTTATCTGCATTCATGGAAATCTTTAAATTTATTAATTTTAAGTTTTTATGGAAAATGATAGAATTGCTAATAATGGTATTTAGTCTTACTTTATATAAAGTAAAAGCTATAATCTATAATGTATTATACATTAGAAGATATAAAACAATATATTATACTTTCATACGCAAAGACTAATTCAATATAATTTTTTATGAATTCAAATATAGTATCAAGATTAAAGAAGTTTATAATAATCATGTATCCAAAATTATTGTAAAATGGTTTACAACCTCCAAGTGTTAAATTACTGATACAAATCTTGTCCAATGGTATTTAACTTAATACATAAACTAGTTTATATTTCATAAATATGATATCAGATATATGATAAAATTATTGTACATTTAATTATAATTTTACTAAAATTGTGCATCATAAAAATTTTGGGTTACCCAAAATTGTAGACTCCTTTAGGATTTATAATTATGTTTATTATATTTTATGTGTGTGTAATTTAAACTTGTATAATTAGAATGTTAAAAAAATTGAGTAAAATGTAATAAAATATATTAATTCGAAATAATTTTTAAAGATCAAGTGGTTTTATTAACGCTATAGAATTATATAAGAAAAATATTCAATAATTAGGGATATAAATATCATTCGCGTGTATCATGAATTAACTTTAAATGCTAATGGTGATGCATAAAACCACTTTTAATGAAAGAAAATGGGTATATGAATATATATGTACATATGCGTTATTTAATATTTAAAAAAAAGGGAATATGAAACCGATGTATATTCTCAGAGTTCAGAAAAATGCAGTTTTTGAAAGCATCTAAGCATTTCGTAAATTAATTCCTTTGCAATTAAATAATGCCTGCTACAGCTGTATACTTATGAAGATCTAATATTTAATACATAATAAATAATTAGTTGCATTCATCTGAAAATCAGATTTTTAAAAAATAATCTCAATAAATTCAGAATTTAAAGTGTATGTATAAATAGTTTTTATTTATACAATAAATAAAGTCCATTAATGTTTTTGTGATAAATATAGTAATATTAATTAATTAAATAATGAATCTGTGCTAAAACATGTTGAAAAATGTATTATTTTTTAATAGTATTGTTACGGATTGCAAGTTTCTAAGCAAAATAAAAAGTGGGAGAGGTATGAGCGCGCGAGCATTTGTTTTGTAAAAACTGACTAACGAAATAAAAAAATGCTATAACAGAAAAACTCGAATATACTACTATAATTCCAAAAGTAATAACGAATGAACTCTACGAGGCTATGCCCTGTTTACGTCACGACAAATATCGGCATAGCAACGATCACCTATGCAATTTCAACGCAGCTTGTTTATACGACAATATTTAAGGAGCTGCACATGACGGTCTCATCCTCTTACCAGTTCAACCAAGCAGTCATCAAGATCAATTTGTTATTCTACAAGTCAACGCCATTTACACAGAGATCGCCTTAAATTCACACAAATCGTTTTCTTACAAGTCAAATACCACTTATATAGAGGTTACATCCAATACACAACGATCTATCTCCACACACGTAAGTTACGCTATTACACACGTCCTTACGTATCACTAACACACGACTCCGTGAACTAAGTAAGCAGCAATACCGAAACCACGGCATCATTGCCATTCATCAGTGACGTCATACACCAGCGCCCTACTAAAGCCTCTCCAGCTCATCGGTAGCGGCAACGGCGGTATCATTTCCATGCATCAGTGACGTCATACACCAGCACCCCACTCAAGCCTCTCCAGCTCATCGGCAGCGGCAACGGCGGCGTCATTGCCATTCATCAGTGACGTCATACACTAGCACCCCACTCAAGCCTCTCCAACTCATCGGTAGCGGCAACGGCAACATCAATTCTCCTAAACAGTGACGTCATACACCAGCGCCCCACTTAAGCCTCTCCAACTCATCGGTAGCGGCAACGGCAACATCAATTCTCCTAAACAGTGACGTCATACACCAGCGCCCCACTTAAGCCTCTCCAACTCATCGGTAGCGGCAACGGCAACATCAATTCTCCTAAACAGTGACGTCATACACCAGCGCCCCACTTAAGCCTCTCCAACTCATCGGTAGCGGCAACGGCGACATCAATTCTCCTAAACAGTGACGTCATACACCAGCGCCCCACTTAAGCATCTCCAACTCATAGGTCGGCGGCGTCAATCACGCACCATACCACAAGAATACACTTATAAGATTATCATCACTCATATTACCTGAAGAAACTCTCACCTATTTATTCTATCATACACTTATTCGATATTCATAAATTATTAACTATTCATTATTTATTATATTCAATAAAAGGGAAAATCAACTCATATAAAGGCAGTATTGAATTATTGCATTGTCCATTCTACTTGCCAGCACGCCTCCCTTCACCATCTCAGGGAAGCGTTTTTAGTCTGATTTCAGACAAGTATAATTAAATAAGATTCTTCTGTAATAACACTACATTTATTCAAATTCAGATTATTTTAGTATTACAAAATTGTATAAAAATTAATTCCACTAATCCGGCTCGAAGAACCAAACGTATAGAATTAATTAAGAAAACTACTAGATGTTGTGTGGGAGAATGCGTGGGCAAGTGGAGGGTTATAAATGACCTTTATATTTCTCAATAATACTCTGGACGAAACGTGTTAACTATTGATTTACTGTAGAAAGAAATAGGCTATAAAACTATTGTCACTTGTTTGAATACTATCACTTGAGAGGATTTGGCTGTTTATTGTGCGCTTGAACGAACACAACTGTTCTTGTCTGCGTCGTGGTTTTGGCAAGTTATGAAGCTGCCTCTAATAATAAGTCGTGTGAGTGAGCACGAGCCTAAGATTGAGGTTAGTGAAAATGCGCGCCACTGAATAGCGCGAATTGCTGGTCTTGCGTAGTGAGCATTTGCGGGAAACTTCTGGACACTAACTGCTTGTAGGTCTGTTTTCAGAATGGGCCGTAAAGCGAAGAATGAACACTAATGCAGACTTACTTGAAGTTGTAGTGTGATATTCCTTATTTCTTCTGACGCGCGTGAAAGTGAAGCTTTCATGCACGGACTGCTTACACTTGAATTTTCCTTGTCTCTCCTTGAGATGACGGGAATCTCATTCCTTGGGCTTTACTTGCTTAGCGAGATTATATGTATCCGTGGTTATGAATCACAGAATGAAAGCTATTTTTACAAGACTCAGCTGAACAACTTTTTCCCTGTTCCTCGTTCTCGAGAATAGTCGTGACTTTTCGTTTGAATAAATGGTGATACATGGTACTTGTTCTTCTCAAATAGTTCACTGACCCGATTCCACTAGTGTTCGGATTTAAAGGGTTAGCTTATGGCTCGAACTGCCAATTCAATAGTTCAGTGGATTAGTCTCTCGGCAGGATAATTTTTAAGGAAATCAATAACGGACAAGGCTGAAAAATATAATATATTTATTTTAAACAAGGTTTAATGAGTGTAAACAATTATAATAATATTGCACTGTTGTGTAGAAATAAATAATTCTGTTGGATTATTCAAAAGATGTGTTCTTGTGATTTTTCTGCTATAAAGGCTTCTTTGGATATTTCTGTCTTGCTTTGAGGTTATGCTGATGTTGTCAATGTCAGCTGATGTCAGTCAATCATGCTTGTGAGGCAGCATGAGAAGATGGTAGTTGAATCAAGTATGCTTGATTGATGAATAGCTATACTTGATG